TTTTTTTAAGCCATTTTACTTAATAGACTGGAATAATATTCATACATAGGGGACTCCAGATATTGGGCAATTCTCAGTGTTGGCTCAATGCCTGGCTGCCTTCTCGTTTGTCTGTGGTTCCCTAAGCCATTTTGCGATGTCATTTGCATGAAGAACGCTATGTTAAACTAAAAACTACATAAATACAAAAATATATAAGTAAATAAAAATCCTAAATAATGTTTTTTGGTAGATATTATGCATTGTATGATAAAGCTAATGCTGAATCCACACACACACAAAGACCCCCGTATATTCACAAACTGTTGAGGCAAGTGCTATTTGTGAGCACCTATGAAGGCTGGCCCGGCACACAAGGGGGTAGATGGCCAACACCATGCTTGGCCACCTTTGTTTCCCCAGTGCTGTTTACACAACGCTGCATGTACTCATACAAGGCTGAGACGAGCGACGGGAAGCCCAGGACCGATTTATATATTCGCCACTGATATTGGTCGTGAGCGCGAATCTAACTGGGGTCGCCGGGTTTATTGTGCAATGTGTGGACCACTGCATGACCAATCCATACACACACACACACGAAACAAAGACAAAGATCCCCCATATAGCCTTGACAGACTGCTGGAGCAAGTCCTACTAGTGAGCACCGATGAAGGCCAGAACGGCGCATGAGGGGGTGGGTGGCCAACGCCACACCTGGCCACCTTTATCTCTCTCGTGGTGATTTTTACACACAGCAGGTACTCACTTGAGGCCGTGTCGACCTAGGGGAGGCCCAAGACCGGATTCAGATAATCGCAACAGGTTTTGGATGTGAGCAGGAATCGAACTTGGGCAGGTCCAAATTCGTTACACAGAGCGCTAACCACTACACTAGCACTCCCTATGCACAAAAGATCCCCCCAGTATAGCCTTAACAGACTGTAGGGGCAAGTGCTGTTAGCGAGCACCTATAAAGGCCGGCACGGCACACGAGGGGGTGGGTGGCCAGCACCACGCTCGGCCGCCTTTGTCTCCCTAGTGGCGACGTTTACACATCGCACCAGGTACTCATTTGAGGCTGAGTCGACCTAGGGGAGGCCCAAGACCGGTTAAAATTATCGTCACTGGTGTTGGCCGTGAGTGGGAATCGAACCCGGGTTGTCAGGTTTGTAGTGCAGCGCGCTAACCGCTACACTACCGCTCCCCCCATACACGCACGCAGACACACAGACATACACAGACACACAGACACATGCATTCCCTCTTCCACCTGTGTCAGGCTCCTCGGGAGTAATGATGCTTAGTGCGTTTTTCTTCGTGGTCACCTCGGGGTCCACCTGCTTCGGTGCCACAGTTGAAATAAGCCGCTCTGATTGAAGAGATGGGCACGCACACACACACACAAATCAAAGTGCTGCCTCGAGGGATTCCGGGAAAAAGACGACCAGTTCTAGTTTCTAAAAAGCTGATGACAACCAAGCACACAAATACACGTGACATCCTGTTAAAAGATCTCTCTCTCTCTCATTGCTACACAAGAGTTACACACACAAAAAAGTTCTCCGCCGAGTATTATCGCAAACTGTCGGGTAAGGTACATTTCCAGTGCAGCACGATTGCATGACGGATGCAGGATGCATATTTCTTCCCCGCTAAGCCACAGTTTGAGCCATAACACGTTCAGCAAAGCGTGAAGGCCCTGCCTGGATCAGCGAGTGTGAAAGGCTCTAAAAAGGCAGATTCTTTTGGAGGGGAAAGTATTTGGTGACCACGTTTCGCTCAACACTCGCCGAGCAAACGTGCGCCTGACGGCACCCGTACGTCGCTGGCTATTTCATAGCTTGACGACATGGACCGGATGACAGCACACAATAAGATTGCATTCCTGCAATGATGTGTAAACTTACGAGGAGCAAAATAACAAAAAATATCACGAACCTTTCATTTGTATTGTGGGTTCACGCTGGGGTGGCGTTGTCTGAAAGCGAAGGCAAATTGTTATTGCATGAAAATGTTTAAGGCGCGCATATTTATAGGTAACATGAAAATCATGTTATATTAGCATTAAGATTTGCGCAAGCAATGATAATACATTCAAATCCCTATGTAAATCTCAAGAATGTGATGTGCATCTGGTCGGATATTTACTTTCCGACATTACCTTCATATCCAAACATCTCACATTTAATGTTTGTATGTAAATAAAATACTTAAAAAATCTTACCATTGCTTCCCTACGTGGAACAGCTGCAAGACAAAAACACAGAAGCCTGCTGTTTTACAAATCATAACCTGCATTCTCGTTGCTGTGTGCTTTACGGAATTTAACTAAACTTGAACTAAACTATTTTATCTCCTTTTCAGAAGCGACCTGGTCACAAACGACAACTCAACGAAGTGGATTATCATATGGAAATATCAGCCAAATACTCGAAGGTTCTTAACCTTTACTGCAGCCTTGCACCCCTTTGGTTCTCAATCGTAAAAACATGTTTAATGTTAATAAATACATAGGTTTGATGAAACAAAGTAGTTGTACGTACGTGTTCATGATTAATTTGTGTTTCGATGATTTATCTCCAAAAAACATTGGCATGTCTCGCACCGCCAGAAAGGGCATCTCGCACCCACAAGGAGCGCGTGCACCCCAGGTTAAGAACCTAAATGTGGAGGGACCCTTCGACGCATGACAATGCCGAGCCGTATTGTGCGATAGAAACATTTGCAAGGGGCAGAGGGGGGGGGGGGTGTCTCACGTGCGGTGGGAGGTGGAGCGGCGGGCGTGGGCCGGGTGGTCGGTGCCGGCAGTGGCGGTGCCTCGTTGGGAACCGTATCATCGGGCCGTGGAGGGTGCAGCCAGATGGTTTCCATGACGACAGGGTCGGGATTGCGGTGGTAGACCAGCCCCGGCCCCGCCGGGCAGATCTCAACGTAGGCATCTGTACATGCAGCATGGCAGAGGAAGTCAACGTAAAGATTTAAGTGTCCCAGCCGTGGTTTGAAATCGATCTCGGGTGCGTGTGCACGAAATGCAGCATGTGGACCACTGTACTAACACTCCACCCGTCTTATCATAACCTGCGTTTTATTTATGATTTTGTTTCTGCATGTGGAGCGAAGCGGATTCATATTTTCTAACTGTTAGTCAACCTAATTTGAGATTTTATAATGCAAACATTTTAGGTTCAAACATTTATAAATTCACCCTCAGTCTTTGACACACTATCTTTTTCAAAACATACATAGGTTATGAGACTTAGTCATTCCGGAGCCGTCTTTCAATAGGCATCAAGACACCCACTTGCTCGTGCACTCGCAGCCGTGTGCGGCACGCTCCATGCGCATGTTTGTGCGTGCATGTGCGTGTGTGTGCGTGCTCACACGCGTGCCCACACGCGCACACACACGCACGCACCTGAGTTTTTGGCGGGACAACGCTGGCAGTCGGAGCCCCAGGCCACACCCACGGAGCAGCAGCACACGGGCCGCGACACGGGCACAGGCAGGGGGTGCTGGCAGCGGTGCTCCACCACCATGTGGAAACACAGCTCCTTCTCCTCCGCCAGCGCCTTGTTGGCTGGGCACAGGAAAGGGTGGTGGGGTTAGCACTCGGTAATTAAAAACCAGGGTAAATGTGAAATGTCACCGTGATGGATGTGGCAGGGCCAGTTACTAAATGTGCTACACGAAACGAGCAGCGTGGAGAGATGAATTCGAGTGCTTTAGGTTGTTTTTGGATAACGGCAAGTGTTGAAGACAAAGGAATCCTGTCGCAATTATGTCAGCGTTATTCACTGTTTATTTTCGTGGTTTTCTTCACGTAGTTTCACATCACGTCAAGGGCCATTTGATGGTGATGGTTAAAGCAGCTGCTTGTCCTGTGTAATGTTTGAGGTGTGCGCCTTGCTGATGGTTTCTCTGTAAAAGGCGCATTGTAAACAAACGAACTATTAACAATAGTTGCGAGCTTGTTAGCGGCTCAATGTTCCCACTTCAGGAAATGACTTAAGCCACTACCATTACGACAAAAAATAATGTAGCGGCGAGTTATTTTCAAACCGCGACCAGTATGAATGTCAACACTGACACGCATGCAAGTACACTAAGTAAAGTTATTTTTTTCGCGAGGTTATTGTTTATTAGTTTGTAAATTTTAAGGTGAAATGAATAAACCATTCACCGTAAACCTGAAGGAAAACTACAAATCAATCATTTTTGTTTATTTTGGAGTAAGTAAAACACACTTATGCATAATTATTATTATCAAACATTTAATGATGGAGCGCACCAATACATTTAGGAGTAAAAATCTTCCACGCTAAATGATGAAATTATGACTGCACTCGATCAAATTGTAGCCTAAATATACAAAACACTGGCCCCACTGTTTGTGGCTGAGATATACGTCCAAATACTCGACACGCCATTAATGTTACAAGTCCGTTTAAAGAGCCAGTGTGCCTTAAGAGCCAAGTCAGAGGAGCTCATGCAATGAGAAAGACATTGAGATGTGTTTCAAGCAGTCTGAAAGTCCAAGTCAATCAAACGGCATTCATACACGCTGCATCCAACTTCCAGAAAGAAATTGAATATCGGACTGCCGTTCTTACATGAACAAACTCTCCCCCAGAAATATGAGCGAAACCTATGTAGTCTCACAGGAAACACAGTTTTTTAAAGCATATTCTTTACAATGAATACAAAAATTCCATACATTTATTTACGGTTGTAGACAATTAATGGCGATGTCAATCATAACAGTGATGTCTCTTGAAAAAAAAGATTTGCGCTAATGTTTCACATTATGAGGTGCCGTACAAGCATGTTAAATTTTCTGGGCAATTCATTTTGAGAATCAGGTTAAAATATTGAATTTTAATATACACAAACTATGAAATGCCAATGTTTCAGTGCTTTTACTGTACGATGTTTGGAACATTGATTTCAGATAGTGTGACGACTCGGACGATGGCACGTGTGCCTCCCCGTGAAACCTCAACGAGCCTGTGACCTCGAGGGCAGACTCACATATGCAGCGGTTAGTGGTGGAATCCAGGGTGAAGCCCGACTTGCAGATGCACCTGTAGCTGCCTTGGGTGTTGAGGCAGTCGGCATTGGGGCACGCGCCCTGGATCAGGCACTCGTTGATATCTAGCAGCACGGTGGGGAAGACAAGAGTGAACTTCCGGGCGCTTAGCTGTGAAGCAGCCCATCTGACGCTAGCTAATAAATAGGACCCAAGAGAAACACAGCTATCACGAGATAAAAATTTTCCATAAACTTCCAGCCAAGCCAATGAAAATAGTGTTGACCGGAATATCAATTATAGGAGTGAACATCTCCAGAACACATTCAAAGCAAATGACCACCTCTTTATCACAGGAAACACCAGATTATAAACTACAAACCAGACAGGTGATGCACACAGGTCTGCGACCAACACTGGCACCGCACTGCACCGCGAGCGTCGGTGATTTTGTCGGTGAGAGCGCTAGTCTGTGGCAAGAGCAGCGGGGGAAGTGTACGGCGCAGGCACGTGCGCTCACCTCGGCACTGGGTCGCACTCTCCCTCTTGAAGCCCTGTGTGCACTCGACCATGGCACTGCTCCCAGGCTGTGTCTGAACTGCGAAAAAAAATACAAAAGCCCAACATTTGAGGAAAAAAAATCAATGGTCCCTTCATTAGCTACATCAAATCCAACAATTATACTTATAGTATGATAGTCAAAGCCAAAATGTCCCCTTGCACATAGGAGTGTATAGAATGTCGGCCATGAGCCTGTGACGGTGCCACATTCCACATTACTATGACAGGGGACAGGATAACTCAAAATCACTAAGCAACACTCGAATGCAAGCAGACTATATGTGCTAGAAGATAATTAAAGCAAGATATATTTCCTTAGTGTGTTTTTTTGCACAATAAAAATTAGTGAGCAGTATAATCGCAGCAGTGAACACTCTGAAGGGTTATTCTAAACTCAGGCCACTCAACAACATAGGAGAAAAAAAAATACCAAAGTAACAAGGCGGTCGCTGAATTTTCCGTGATGATAATCACAGCTCTCTCTTTGCCAAAGACATTCCTTTCATTTATGTTTACTGTGGTAGGTTTAAAAGGGTGGTGGCTGTAGACTTGGACGTGTGGTTGAAGCTGCCAGAGTGAGATTATCCAGCCCTTAAAACCAGGCTGGCCAATGCTTCGTGGAATGTGTGAAATTGCAAAGGTCTACCCACTCAAAACTTTGCCAGTTAAATCCTTAGAATGTTCATTTGAAATAAATTCACCATTTGACATAGACCACCTATATATACACACTGCAGTAGGTGTTTTAACCATTTTTCTGTTCAAATATGCACAACAATTAGTACGGTTGGTTATGTACGGTGCGAGAGAAGTTCAACATACATACACATATGGTGATTGCATATGGGCACCACTAATAGAATAAGATCCATATAACTAATATATTATTAACTAGCATTACTACCCGGCTTCGCCCGAGACTTGGATTCTTGTCTTGGACTAATACACGGCCTACGCGGAGGGTGGGGGGGGGGATGTGTGACGTCAGCAGGCACACTGCGTGACGCTACCGCATGCGTGACATCACATGTGACGTCACTGCTCACTTGCCGTGCAAAATATATCCATTATTGCGCCCTCCCCCCCCCCGAAAATACAAAAGTCTATTTTTATACTTTTTGCATTGTGTACAGTCTGGAAGCTACCCACATGCCAAATTTCAAGTTTGTTGCATGTCGGTGAACTATGCTAAACATTTCGAACAGACACACATATTCACAAATTTCCCGTTTTGTTATATTACTAGTATACAGTCATGAGCCATTCAGATGGCATCAGAGGCAGCAGTAATGTTCAGCTTGAGAAAATCTTTGATGAGTCCAGCACTTACGGATGTAATCATGATCAACATTGAGAAGTCACAATATGTCCCGCAAGTGTCCCACTGAGCAGTTTTTTTGTCCAAGCTGTCCAATGCATGTACAGAAGGGGCAACAACCAGGATTTTCCGAGTTCCCTTGCCTCTTTGCATAAATATATCTGCATGAATAAAGCCAAATCACGTCGCCGGTGCGTGCACGACGCTGCACTCTTGATTGGAGAATGCGTACCCTGCATCTGCAAACCCCACTGCTGCTTTACCGCATGGAAACTGGCAGAGCATTTGTCTCAGTCACACGGGGGGGCCACTCAGCGCCCATCAATGCCTCCTTGTTCTGCCACCCATGGCTGTCAGGCACAAGCTGCGACAGAGAGATGCGCCCCTTCCGCGTGTTGACTTTCCTCGTAGGACAGCAAGCGTGTGAGTCCAGCGGTTTCCGAGCCATGCCACTGCTCCTGACCCACGCCTTTCGGCTACATCTGTCACACTGTCCTGTGAAGGACCGCCACCTCTGTGGTTCACACTTGCTAGGCTCTCAGTGTTTCGGAGAACACGAAGGAGAGCGCTGGAGGATTAACACCTCTAATCGAGCCTGGAAACAGAGCCATGCATCTTGCTCGTACTTGACACTTGTACCGCTAAGCGGGATCTGCCAACTAGGCTGAAGAAACATAATCGGCTTGATGAAATTGCATGCCTGTGGCAGGCAAATGACCTTCATGAGCTATGTAACTCAGCAGTAAACGACAGAAAATACAGATATAAATGTATACTCGTGCTGGCTGTGTTAGATGCCGAAATGAAGTGAAAAGTGCTGTCACTCCATTCTGCTCGTGTGGGACCGCATTGTCTTTGGCGCCACGCTCGTCAAAGTTTTCCGATGGCAAATTTCCTTTTGTAAATACCACTTGCCAGCCACAATGTTCTTTCTCTGTCAACAGGAAATATTATGATCGCAAGATGGCAAGTCCAATTGTCATCACTTGTGCACGGCAACATCCATTTTTAACCGACACGCAGCCAGAGCTGTCACCACTCATAGTTTGCATGGGGACATCATCTTCAAACTGAGGCTTGACAAGAGTCATGTGGCTTTTGCGGCCAAAACCATTCCATGCCTGCTATGCAGAGGCTCTTTCCTCTCTCTTGCCAGTTAAATCGGGACACAAACACGACCGTCCACTTATTGTCCCAGCAACATGGAAACGTGCGACACGTTACTGAGTGACATTGCTACGCACACGGATCAAAGAAATGCAAGCACGGCCGCTTCGTATCACAAAACACAAGTGAGAGAAGCAACCTTCCCCATGAGAATTGCACAATTTACATTCTTAAAGAAAATAAATAAGCCAACTTTTGAAGAGTGATGCCTTCTTAAGGTAACCATAACATTTCATGAAGTAATCTATCTTACAACACTTCGGGGATATATCTCTTCATACTGTTCACTTTCTGGATTTCCAACAGTAATCTTTTTTTTCAACAGCCGTTGAAAAAAAACAATCTTATTTTTGTTTGCAGTGAGGCCATCAGCGCACTGTGTGTACCTGACAGGAGACGGATGACTCAGAGATGATCCCACAACACACTGGAATGCTCTGAGTTACCTTATCACAAGGAGGTGCGCTACGGGGCAATAGGTTTGAGACTGTGACAGCAGGTGACAAAGCAAGTCAAAACTCGGCTCTTTTTCTTTTAGGGCATGTGTACGCGGAGCTGCTCTAATCCCAAACGTAAAAGCTCACAGAAGAGAAAGGCGGTGCACATTTAAGGATGGCCTTCAATGAAGAGGGTACGAATGCTGCACAAGTCCGAGCCTGAAAAGAGCTGTGGACTTTGGACCATCCATCACTGCTATGACTCCTGGAGGAAAACTTCTCCTTCTCTGGAAGGTCAAAGGTAAGTGTACAACTCTGCATTCAGTAAACCAGACGAGTTGTTATTGAACGTCATCTCGACACCATTTCAACGGGAAAGGCAGATAGAGGCATGCAGGATGATGGTGGCAGATTCCGCGTAGAAAATTATGCAGGTTTGAGGCAAGTGGGTACTTATCATAAAACATTCTAAAACATTCATCTTTTCTTTGCATTCTCTTTGAGATTCTGGAATGCAAACGTTGGAAAATCGTTGCAGGATAACTTCATAGCAGGGCCATGTAAAAAAAAAACGCTTCATGAATTACACGATTGAGTTATCCGCTGACATTGTTGGGGTTTATCCTTGTGGAGCCATAATTTGATGGGGATTTTATTTTTTTTTTCAGCTCTCCAGGGTTCATGAATCACATTTACTTTGATAGAAAAGCCAAGCAGTTTTTCATGCCCGTCAGCAACACTACCAAAAAACCCACTCCAACTCTATCGGAACCTATACACTTCCATTGAATCTTGCGGGCATCATTAACCTCATAACTGTGGCCACCGTCTGAGAAGCCAAAGCAGCCGTCGAATCAAAATGAGTGGACCTATTTACTAAATGTATACAAGTAGACATTAAATATATGATATTGAAGCCTAGAGACAAAACTGATTTTAAGAACTGCAGAACCATTCGCTCATAACACATATATATAGATGGTTCATGAAGATAGTCGAGAATTTAACAATGATCGATTGAGAGAACAATCTCCCCTAAAGAAGAACCTGGTTTGAGAAAATGTGTTTGTACTATTGACACCATATATACAAACAATGCAATTATAGAAAAGACCAATGAATATCAGCTAATATCATGCTGAGCTTATGTAAACTATAAAAGGGGATTTGGTGGAAACTGGGAAAAAAAGTGAAACTACTCCTGATCAAGGATAGATTAAAGTACAGTATTTTGTATCATAGTAAATCATAATCCCAAATAGGAGCGCCTACTAAATGGGATCAATTAATTTATTAACTAGTTTCGCTAAACAATATGAAATACAGCACATGCTGGAACCTTAGTGCTGTATTGTATGTAGCTTGTTGCGTTTATAGATGGTACCGGTTTGAAAACTGAAGTTCAATTCAACCACTGTCGCTGTAAGATGACTGTGGGGGAATTAAAAAAAAGTGCGTCATCTCCTGTAAAGTGAACAATACCCTGTGCCATTGGTTGTAAAATTGTTCCATTGCATACTGATGCCAAAGTTCAAACCTTGCATTGACAATGACTAAAACAATATTGATGTGCCATTTCTACATAATAAAAATATGCAGATAATTATCTGTGTGCATGTCAAAAATAATAAAATCGCGTCGTTGGAAAAATATAGGGAACAAAGGAGTTAAGCAGACAATGTCTCCTTCACATATCCATCTCTCCACAGAATAACAAAAATATTTTTACACAACTCATGTTCTTCTGGGGATGTATAATTTCAGCGGCATAGATTCAGTACAAGCAAACTCTGGACGAGTTTTGACATGTACATATCTATTTGTCCTTGCAACTCCTATTCGGCCACTCAACCAACTTCTAAGAATGACATGTCTTTTAAGAGCTTAAGATAGGTAGTTTATGCAAACAAGGTCAAACTTACTAAAAACAAGATTTATCTGATCATTTGACCTATTAGCCTCAGTGCTGCTTATCGGTTATATCATATGCAATAACCCAGCGTACGTACAAGCCCCGTTTTAATATCACACAATTAATTGGGACAAATATGGGTGCTTTTGCAACCGTTAGATTTGCAAAACAATGTAATCTTTAACATTATTTGTACAGGGAATAAACTCCCGATAAGTAATGCATTACCATTGAATCTCTCCGCATCACCCACTAGCCCTGTACAGTATATAAAAGGGTTATTTTAGATGCTCTACACATGTTGTGTAAACAACGAGACCTTGTCAAACTAAATTCCTTTGCGATCCATCTGTGCAGACGACACGCGCGTATGCCAATGCTTTCATTTCTTAGCGACATTCAATTACCAAATAGAATGGCCATAACTCCTGCCAGCCTCGACTCTTTAAACAAAGTAAAGAGATGACATACAACTACAACTTTATGTCTCTAAATGAAAAGCATGTGTCTCTGCTCCAGCTGTTGTTCATGCACTCGCAAACCATGTCTGTTTTTAATGTTAAACTGCAATTCTGCCACATATGGCCCAGCGGCCGTCCAGCTTGGCTCATAAACCGAACACGGGTTTATCTGTTGGCAATCGAACGCACGCAAGAATGACTGCATATCTTTACGAGTGTATATAAAATCTGCTGGCGCTTGTTAGCCAGAAACAAGGGCATAAAAACGTTTCTGATGAAATGGGAAACATAATAAGCCCTCCCCCCCTCCAGCACCTCCGTCCCAACCCCTTTTCGCACCAGAACTGGCTTTCTGACAAGACGACATCCCTTGCTGTGGTCTGGATGAAGCTGCGAGACAACCCTGGCTGTCATCATGCTGCCAATCAAGGGCTTGGCCCACCACCCCTCGACATAGGGAAATTTGGCCGCCTCTAAAAATGTCCACGCGAGACACATAATCAAATTGTGCACATTACACCAAGACATCGACGGCTGGCAGGTAAGCATTAAATACAACTTCCATATGCCTATCCATCTCTACGGGGGGATAACACGCGTAACGTTACCTTATAAGATCCTCACTGTAAAACACACACAAGTACAAGAAATGAGAACCAAATGTAATGCTGTAATAGAGTTGTTCGTCGTGCAACCTGCTTGTGGATTCCTTCTCCATAAATCATCTACAGTGGAAACGTTAAGCGACCGTGGCTTACCGCCAGCACCGGCCGATTACCGTACATGACACACATTCACACACAATCCCTCCTCTCACGAGTGACACAAACCCTCCACCGGATAGCATTCACGTGCGGTGATCCAAGAAGTGCCCAAACATGGATGACAGTGACCCACACAACCACAGGACACCAACGCTGAGGCAGTCGATCAGTACGGCCTCGCACAATATATCCAAGTGCTAGGCTCTGGTAAGTTGACTCAGCTGCGTGTTTCATAATCTCTGTACATATATGTAATACTGCCCACTATGTTTTATGAAAGCACACGGGATTAATACAAATAAAAGTTGTAAGTAGAATCCCATTTTGTTTCCACAAGAAAATAAAATAAAAAAAGATGTATCTGCACATGTATATACGTTTTAATTATTTACTTGTGGAAACACAGAACTAGGCTCTCCATACATATGGTAATACCATGAACGTTCTGCAGTCAAGCATACCGAGGTCACATTGTTGAATATAACCGACCAAGGGGAAAGTAGTCAAGGAATTTATGCAACTGATAGCTGGTCTCCAGCCATACATACCACGGATACAGAAACACCGAAAGAGTGCAGTCAATAACTTACAGGCCTTTCCAATCCACTGCTGGATGAGGGCCTCCCATTGCTTCATCAGTCAAAGGGGATTGTTTAACCACACTACACGACTGAGCAGTTATTGGTGAGCGTGAAGGGGAGAAAGGCCCAGGGACTAGGCCACACTGAAGTTAGTCGTGGTCAAGAGTCAAACGCAGGTAGCCAGAGACACTACATGAATCATTACACCACCCAATCCATATCCCCCCGTATCGTTTTCATAACGCTGCATATTCTGTATGGAGTGACATTCATGTCATGATGTATGGCTAAATACTGACAAAATGCTTCAACAAGTTACATTAGCCAAACCACATGGTCAATTGTGTCACGATATCGATGAGCACTGATAAAATGACTATCTATAACATTTTTGAGTGTTCACCCGCTGTTAACGTTTAATATTCTGCCTTTGAAACACTTGGACCACTCGACATCTGACATGTGTTTGCCGAGACTACCTATTAAGAAAGCGTCGTACCTCCCTGGGTTGTGTGTCCCCCCCCACCTCTCATCAACCAGGACACGTCGGGTACATGGGCCTGGCGGATATTCACGTGGAGTTGTGTTTTTTTGTCGCTCAACATTCTGCAGAATGGCCTTTGTTCTTGTGTACTGAAAAAATCTAATACAAATGTTCTTTTCTATAAAAAGGAAGGGTCGCACCCAGAGTGGTATGGAGTGCGCACCTAGGAATTCAACATCAGACCTGGTGTGCCATGGACCTGACATAAAGCTACCAGCTGAAAGTCTTTTACAATTTTTTTTAACTGTATAGCTCTTTTTCAGAAACGATCTGGCCACAAATCACAGCCCAACAAAGTGGCTTTTCACGTGGACATTTATAGCAGCCAAATACAAACGCATGTTTATAAATATAGAGGGAAAAACTGGAGGGCCCGTAGAAAAATCCACACGACCACGGGGATAACATAGAGGCTTCAGGGTCGGGATCCAACCCGCGACATTCTGCATACCAAGCGAGGTAGTTACTGTGGCATGGTGCACTTCATGTGGATAAACTTGGCTGCGAGAGCGGTCCCACTTGTTGAATTTAAACAGGTGTTGTTGATACAACTCTCACCATATTTTCCATTTGCAAAGCTATGTATGGGCAGGTATGTAATATGTGAGCCCTCTTGTGTGTCAGTCCTATATTGTGGCAATACGCAAAGAAAGGGTGCAAGACCTACAGTTAGTTTGTTTATGATATGATATGGAGTAACACTTCAGAGGTAACTTTAAAAAAATCCTGTATTTGAAGCCGAAATTTCGTCTGAATTCCACACGTGCATTGTGCAGGTGAACTCACAGAAAGGCAGGTCCAGACATGTGAAAAAACAGTCGGAAAGAAACGTGCAAAATTCCCAACATATACTTGGCATGGGATAAACATTTTCATCTGTAGCTGCTAAGAGAAAAGTGTTGCATTTATGATTGAATAAAACCTTCTGACTTATAAATAAGAATACTGCATTTAACTGAAATGAATGCTAGTAATTGTTTAAGAAAATGTTTTCCTTTGTACCAAAAGAGAGGCTTTTGAGTATGAAAAGCAAGGGTTTGTTTAAAAAAAATGTTTTACCATTTCTCTAAAAAGCCTTTTGAACAAAAGTGTACACTTATGAAAGCGCTGTTACATAAACATGACTGGAGTATGAACAGGTAAGGCTCAAGACTTGGGCTGGAGATATACATTTAAAATGTTTGTGTTCGACAGAATGTGCAAAGGACATCAATTTAATGTTCTTCTTGCGAATAAATTAAGGTGCATCATCCCTTCCAAACTTCTGTCACGCCTCCGATAATCACAAACTCTCGTCTGAGTGGTAAGCAAAAGTCAAATCAAATGCAAAGTGCCAAGTGGTTAGCAACAAGCAGCACTAAGTATAATAGATGACAGATAATACCATGTCAAAACATGCCAAAACATGTGCAGCCCACCATACATTGAACATACTGACGAAAAGCACACATTGGTGTGGTTTTGCACAGTTGGTGAACAAGGGCGAGTGGGATGGACAGCGGCTGGGCAGGCCTGCACCAGTGCGAGGGAGGAGCTCACCGGCTGTGGCTGGACACTTGCTGCACTTATTGAAGCCCCAGGAGCTGCCCACACTACCGCAGCAGTCCTCCTGCTTGAGGAGGCCCGGCAGTGGTTTGCCGCACTGGAATAAAGCACAACCATCTCAGTGGGGGAGGAGGCCATTGGCACAATAACAAAGGGAAAAAAACTGGTGTTTCGAGGAAGTGTACATTTTATTTTCCACCTGTGCCCGTATGTGGTTACAGTTGCCGATTTCGCTGCTGCAATCGTACAACATACAAGATGGCCTGAATCTGCATGCAGATGCGCACATTAAAAATGCCCGAAAAATAAGCAAACACAACAACGTACACACGTTGACACACAAACACACAGCAGAGCACACCTGCTGCCCTGGGTTGGTCTCCTGGAAGCAGCGGCCAAGCGGCTTGGGCTGAGGCCTGGGCTGGGACGCAGGCTGCTGTATCGGGTAGGTGTACGTCTGCTGTTGCTGCTGCTGCTGCAACTGCGAATGGTGCGGAATCTGCCCGTGGCTGTGGCTTTGGCTGTGACTTTGGCTGTGACTTTGGCTGTGACTTTGGCTGTGGCTTTGGCTGTGACTTTGGCTGGCTGTGACTGTGGTGCTGGTGGTCCCGCTTGTAATGATGGCTTGGGCCCGTCTCGACGCGCGACACCTGGTGCACCTGCACGGAGGCCGCCTGCGGGTGCCGCACGTGCACGTTCGCTACACTCGGCGATATCTTCACTGCAAAACACAGGGCAAAGTTCTAGGTCAAAGGTCTAAGTCCACGGCGACACACACACACACCGCATAGCAAGCATGAATAGCAATCACAGTGCTGGGTTATAAATGCACGATGCCGAAAATATGCCATGGGAAAAATGCCTTCTCTAATTGGAAATAAGTGCCTAACCTGACACTTCATTTACTTCAAAAGAGTAAATAATAACCACAACATTATATAGACACATAAGCGGTATAAGTAATATATATGATTATTGTCAAACAAAATGTTATATTTTACTGCCCTTCCATAGCTAGAAGATCATAAATCAGAGGCCCATAAATTCCCCAATGACAAGCCTCTTCATTGAAGCAGTAAATTCTCTTGAGGTTCAATTCCTCAGTGGAGTTTATTGCTTCATAAAAAAAAGTGTGATGCATGTTGATTATTATGCATAGTCAAAAAAAAAGATTTGATATATAATTATCATTTATAGACTTGTAAATGTTTTATTATCATTCCACACTATTTTAATAATTCTAGATTTGAAGCTTTCGTGACTGCAAGGATTAATATTCTTAGGTATTTTCGGTAAAGTCACGTAGGTAAAAAAATTAAATTAATAAATATAAAATACAATTAAAATCACGACGTTTCGGAGGCAACACTGAAGACGGAAGCTTGTGTTGCCTCCGAAACGTGATTTTTATTTTATTTTTATTTTACTTAATTAATTTTAATTCTTTTACCTACGTGACTTTACCGAAAAAAACCTAAGAATATTTTAATAATCCCTACTCTCTGCAATGTAGTAATGATTGTAAACTTTACTTTAAATAATACCATAAGAGCTCTGCCAATGAAAGGAGGCTCCTCAGGTTTTAAGAACCATGCATGCAAAGCCATGAAGTGCTCTTTGCTTTCTGTTCCACTGCCAGTGGCGGCCTCAAACAATGCAGCTGCTAGACCACCACCAGTGCATCCTGCGTCTGTGAAGACATGGAGCTCAGGCTCGCCAGCCTTATTCCCTGTGCTTTACCCAACCACGTCATCAATAACTGTGATGTGGTTTATCATTCTAAGGTCTTCACTACGACCACATTTTATTGGATTTTGTGGTGGTTAATTTATCATTGGGCTCTAAGTTCAGATAAATCATATCTTTGCCAACTTTCTTTGACCATTAGACAGCTGGGGGGGGGGGGGGGGGTGGAAACATGGCATGAATTTAAAATGTGTCCCTTGGAATTGTCAGCACACGCATCTAACATTACAGAAGATTTTAATGAAAATGGCACCGACATCAAATCCACGAATCAAATTTTCAAAAGACTAGCCAACAAAAAAAGGAAATTAAAAAGATGCCGAGCTATTGATATACAAGCTAGTCAGGACTAATTTAGCTGCCAATCCTTCAACAGGTTGGCTATGACTTTCACTGGATTCATTTTTAAAAGGCAAACAGGTTTTCCCTGGTATTAATGAAAATTAATGATGTTAAGAACCATCGTGCTCTGTAGAGCAGTGGTGAAAATGTATAAACAAAATGGGTTCCCAGTGGTTAAAATGTGATGCAGAATTACGAGATTTTAAAGGTATTGTTCTGCTCTTTGTTTGAGTATTTTTTTTTGGGAACTTGATGTTTTCCAAATACTTGACTGTATGCTACTTTACAGGCCTCCGAAATGCCATGGATGTAAAACTAATGCGATCTCATTGTTCTGTATATTGTTGTTGTAATAAAATAAGCCTCAAGAATATTGTTACAAAAAATAAAGATCTTACTTACATCTTAGCTTAAATATTTGCAAAAACAATTCTTTATTACATGCAACCCAAGATTTAAAACATGTTTAATATGTTTAACACCACAATATCTTGTATAATTATAATACTATGAGTCATGCCGGCATAGGGCATTTCATGAACAAATGTTAAACTCACAAGCATGCCTCATGATAGATACCAACAAATATAACCCACATTAAATGATTCACACATCAATAACCATATTACCACGTGGCTGTCCATAGAACTTGTAAAATGAAAAAGCAACACCAAAGTTTAAACGACAACATCACCCTTTTTTGGTTATATTGTTGCGTTGTTTTGTATGTAATAAAATCTACATATATCCTTTAAAAAAGAAAAAAACTCCCACGTTTAGTAACAGCCAACGAGGTTCTCAGGCAAGCTCGCTGTCCAGGCTGCTGGGATAGTAAACGTGATGGCGGTGAGCGGCCTTTTGCTTGGTGGTGGCCGCGTGGGGAGGAGTGGGCCGCACACGAGCAAGGGGCCCCATGCCACGGTATAACGGGCTAGCGCGCGTTCCGCCCACCACGTGGGGGTGGCGTAGGCGACCGTGGTGGGGATCGCGATGTGCAAAGGGGAAACGGTACGCGTCCAAACGCAGGCGGGTCAGGCGCAGGTGGACGGTACCGTGGGTAGCAGCTCCGGCGTGCACCCCCGACACGGGGATGGAGAAGGTCGAGTGAGTGAGCGACACGCCCTGGCCGCCCGCCACTGCCCCCTGCTCCTCGGAGGCCCTGGGCGACTGCACGGCGATTTGACAGAACTTCCCCGTGAAGTTCGCCGGGCAGCGGCACTTATCCCGCGTCTGACAGCTGCCCCCGTTCCGGCACGGGATGGGACACACCACTGTGTGGGGGTACAAGCAAGGGGTGTCCAGTGCTCACATTTTTTTCCATCACATCAACAGCAGCAACAAACGCAAGTGGTTCTGGCATGAAGGGCTACAAAACTACTTTGGTAAGAGCCTATCACCCAAATGACTCAAAATACACCCGATCTCACCAGATCTGGGTGCATAAGCAGGCTTGAGCATGAATGGTACAATGCATGTACATGCACCGTACATACATTGTACAAGCACCGTACATGCAGTGTACAAGCACCGTACATGCAGTGTACAAGCACCGTACATGCAGTGTACAAACACCGTACATGCAGTGTACAAGCACCGTACATGCAGTGTACAAGCACCGTACATGCAGTGTACAAACACCGTACTTGCAGTGTACAAGCACCGAGATGGTTATCTCCCCCACCCCCACTCATTGGCTCCTCCCTGCCCAGCACCCTATATAAAAAACACGTGTTTTGAATAGCTCTCGTCACACGCTTACAGTAATTTTATTGGAGCAGTTACACCTGATGACGGAGGCTTGTGTTGCTTCCGAAACGTCGTGATTTAATTTAGTTATTTTCATTTATTATTATTATTTTATTATTATTCTTTTTTTACCTACGTGACTTTACCGAAAAAACCTAAAAGTATGAATAATTTACAAGAAAGTTTTCAAAACAACTAGTTTAGTGATGGCCAGCACTGGTGTATAACACATTCCTCTGCATACTTATTATCTGTTAAACCGCCTGCACGTGTCACCGAGAACTTGAAAACTTTGTAACACTATCAAACCTGAGACACAAGCTCCCACTGCAATGAGTTCTCACATTTTCTATTGCACAACAACGGTAATTATGCTATATTAAAAAAGTGTACATTTTCAAAATGAGTATTGGACTTCACTGCAAATGAAGAACCATTTAAGTAGCATGAGACCTGTGTTCTAATTATGATTAAACCTACCCACAGCTGTCTATCACTGCATAGCTGCTGCTATCTGTTTGGTAACATTTGCTCAATTTAATTTTTATGGTGCAATGAGATAAGAGAGCCACAATGTACTTCTCCAGAAAATGCTGATGGGTGTTTTATTGTATACGCACACCTAGATGTGTGCTTTTGACACACGTCCGTGTCTTGTTTTGAACAGCATGTGTCGGAAGAGTCACCTCAAACCAGGAAAATAAAAAAGGAGAGAAATATGTTTTAACGTTGCCCATTTGAAAAAGTCTCTGCAAATAGTTACATGCATGACATTGTAGCACGACTGGGCTCCCCGGGAATGCTACTACATAGTCCTGTTTACACCGCCTGCAGCACATGGAAAGATGTGAAGGTCCAGCACATGTAACCAGAAAGCAGCCATTCTAAGAAGGCAGCTTCAACACTGGGAGGGGAACAGGAAACGAGAGCAAAAAACAGGAGCACGGCCAACTCAAATGTTTAAACAATCGGCAAAAACCTAAAGATGAAGAGCCTGATTAACCACACACTCAACTGTTCCGTGTTTAAATTTTGGTGAAACCACGAGTGCAATCTGAAACGTGGTTGTGAGGGCCATGTACACGTGATGAAGTATTCCATTCAATTATCCCAGTGAAATCAGAATATTATTCTAGCACAGGTGTCTGGCAATGTCCTCTAATTTTTTTTGTAAAAAAAAATTATTCCTATGAGGATTCATTTGAAGTTTGTGTTCGAGTTATTAAAAGCTGACCACATGCTGTAAACGTTATGGACTATTGCATCGGCATGCTACAGCGAAACATTTACTGTACAGTACAAGGTTAAGCCGGTATTTTTGTTTATGAAACCAAATGTTTTAGCTGCGATCTGAGTTGCACGTTGCAGAAAGGGACATAACAGTATTGACCAAAAGTCACCGCAGTAAAACACATGATGACCCTCAATGCTTAGTTGTAATATATTGGTCAAGTCACACGATAGAGTGCTAATAATGAAGCGAATCACGTAAACCATGACCTTCTCATAACAAAGACGGCATGTGATCAAAAGAGTGTATTTTTAATAAAGAGAGCGTGCCATTACATTCTATGAGATGTGAATGAAAAAGAAGGGCCACTGCAGAGCATTCACTTCACTGGAATTTAAGAAAGGTGAAGGCGAGAGTATTTGAGGACAAGGCAACGGGAAGTGTGGAGCAACAGAGCCCAGTCAGCGCAGCTACCCCTGCTTTGACGTTAAACTAAAACTAAAAAAACATTTTTTTTACCAAGCAAGGCTCACTGAGCAAAATATCTATTTTTCAGAAGTGACCTGGTCACAAATGATAGCCTACCAAACAGTGACTTATCATGTGAAAATGTAAAGCAGCCAAATACTCCAAATGCATGTTTCTAAATGTGGAGGGAAAACCTAGAGGTACCTGGAGAAAAATCCATGCAACCACAGGGAGAACAAGAAAACTCTAAATATACAGGCGTCAAGGGTTGGGATCGAACCCATTACACCTCTTGTATACCCAGGCAAGGTAGTTAACATCTCGCCATTAATGCCAGCAGCAGCAATTAGCCCTGCAGCCTCACCAATGCACTCACCCCCAGCCTTGAAATCCATTCACGGTCACAAGGACAGGCGAGGAATGAGCTTTACGAGTAACAACAAAGGTGCCGCCACCCATGTTCTGAATTGAATTTGCAGTTGACATTTAAAAAGTTGCGTTTTTTCAAGCACTTACGGTAAACCATTTCAATGCAAGAATATGTGCATATATATGTACACATAAATAAGAAAGGTAGTGTTTTTTTCTTCCGATTAAGCTATTAAACTAGACACCAATATAATAATACAACACTTGTCTCAAGTACACGGTTATGGCCACTTGCGTTTCTAAAAAGAGATGGCTGTGTGGCTCAGGGGGCTAATACCACGTGTTAATAAGGCGACGTGCCGACACCACTGGGATCCTGGTTAAAATCTGGGCAGTCGCCCGTGATTTTACTGGTTCCCCAAATGTGGCTAGTTGATGGACTCATCCCAATCACTCACGACTGAAGAAACCCCCCCACTCACCTCCCCCCCCATTATATAAATTGTTTGATTAACATGTGACAACACTTTGAAGGGGGGGGGGGGGGGGGGGAGAGTAAAAGTTGTGCCGCTAGTGCAGATAAATAGGCTTATTGAAGCAACTTCATGAGTTCTGCAACAGCACATTCCAGGGCCAAACTCTGATGCTGTGAGAGTTTTGCATCGATGTGAATACATTTGGGGAGAAAATCAAAACAATACTAATATAGCGTTTAAAACAATGTAATGTGCCATATCCCTTCTTAATGTGAGCTCGGCAATGTGTTGTTCTCCCAAATGTGTTGTCAACGATTAAGCTACCCCTCATCCTCCGCACCCCCTCCGGTTAAGAATGACTTAATTTGTTCTTTTCCGGTGTTTGTTTTGATTTGTACCCAAGAGTCGCGTCCATGGTGCAGCATACTGTGTCACATTGGCCTCATCCCAGTACTGGGTTCTCCGTAGCTGAAGCACTGCACATACACTGCCGATCAGTAGCGCTGCACCCCTTCCAGGGCTGGACCCAGTCTTTCTTACGCAATGTGTACTCGTTTTCCCCAGCGGGGATTTCTGAGTAACGTCACTAAACCAACACATCGCTCTACCCAACCCCTGGCATGGGGGTGGAACAGAATGACTGGAGTAAATGGCATTCAAGTTTCAAGTATGTTGTGTTTGAACCAGGTGAAAACCAAAGAGAGACGGGATTCGTCTAATTCACAAGAGTGACCCGGGGCATTGGTCAATTGAGTCATTTGATAAATGGACAAGTTCAACAGCAAAATTACTGTAGGGTTCAGTGTGACATGGCGCTTTGTTTTAAGTATGACTAAGATATATAAAATACAAAAAAAGTTAGTTATATTAATGTTCAACTGTGATAGCGATAACTCAGCAGTTAGAATGCCACTGTTGGATGGATGCAGGAAGGCACTTTTTTCTTCGGAACCTATATATATTTTTAAAATCTGGCACATTTAAATTCCTTATATTGTTTATACATGCCTGGTGACAGCTTTGATGAATGCAATAATAATGATTTTTCTTCTCCAAACAAGTGTGAGAGTGCCAATGTAGCTGCGATCACATACACTGCTTGTGTTTTGTAATTGCAACGTGAGTAATGAATTGAACAAGAGTTGGTCAAAGGCTAAAACTTCCCTTTGCTTTGACTAGGTCGCATAGTTTGAGACTCTGCTATTTATATGCCAGCAAAAATGTACACTGTAATTTTTATATTTAGCTATTTTTAGCATTACATTAAAACACACTAACACGTTGAACTTCAGAACATAAATCAATACATTGACTAACAAAACATTTGTATTTTACTTTAGCCTGCACCATGAAGGCATGAGTGCCAAACACAGCTTCATATGATTTGTATATTGCTTTATGTATAATACAAATGCGACCTTGGCAAATGTAAATAACTTGTGCTCATTCTTGAAAAACATTTGTACACAAGAGCTGTCATGGTGCCTAGTGATGGCTCTCAGCTGTTTACACTGGCCACAGCTCAAGTTCACGCCGGCGCTTGCTGGAGGGAAACGCTAGAGACTGCATGCCCGTGTCCGGCCAAAAACCATTGCTCTTTTCTAAGTAGGATCATGGCTGGGCCATGACTCAAGAAGACAATGACTCATTTATGTGCAGCTCAAGTAAAGTGTAACAGCGCAACAAGTGAATGAGCTCTATTTTTCCTGCCCGCTTATTAAAATGAGCCACACGCTAGCTTCCTGTGAACAGGTCGTAGCTCGCTCGGTTATACAAATGGGCAGGAGACCATGCCCTTCCATTCAAGCAAATGTGCAATAATGAATGATATGGATCCTGGTAAATTCATGTTGGTTGGTCCCACTTGGGTAATCACAATTTGGCCAGCATACGGGGACCATCGTTTCCCACCGTAAGTGAAAAGAATTCTTGTTCTTCTTGGAAACAATAAAGAGGAAACTTAATATACCTAACTCTGACACTTAAATTGATGCATTGTACCTCTGCCAGAATTACAAAAACAAAGCTGTGCCATTATCACCTTATTACAAACTTCATATAAAAATAATGCTGTTCTCACAATTCCAAAAAGTGAGTTTTAACCTTTCTTTCCTAATTCTCATAATCACCTTGAAAATATATGGCAACATTTTAAAAAATTAAGTTTAAACATGAAATTATAAGACAATAGACAATACTTTAAAAATTCAAGAAAATGGAACCATATTTACCGTTCTGTCCATTCTGAGCATGACAGGACAAAGAAGATAGAGAAACAGATTTTTGATAAAATCGAGACATTTCGCAGCAGTTATGGTCAATTCAGGAGCAGCGGCTGCTGTGCGGCGAGTGCACGACTCACCGACGCGGAACCCGGAGCCCGTCAGCATGTCAGCTCCCTCGCCGTTCTCGCTGATCAGCGTCGTCGTGTTGCCCTTCTCACAGGTATTCAGGCACTTCCCGTTGGTGCACGTCATCTTGCAGATGGTGGGCGTGAAGACCACCTTGATGCGCCCCATCGATCCGCTCGCGCTCAGGTTGCCGGCTACGAGAGAGGGCAAGAACAGCATGAGGGCGCACAGGGTGGCGGCTGCGGCAGCACCGGCCGTGATCGGGCGGTACACGATGCCCATTCGTGCGCTCCCCATCGCAGGCAGGCAACAGTGCAGAGGCACGGAGCTGGGCAGGCTTAGCCGCTTACGGCTGAGCGTCTGACAGCCATCCAGCTGCGTCGTGGACTAAATGAGGCTGGAACCGCAAGGGAGAGAGGGGGGGGTGTTGAGGGTGTGTGTGGCAGCAGGGAGGAGGGGCGGATGGTGGAACGTCCTGCTTATGGAATGGCTAGGGCCACACTCCAAAACCACGTTTGAAGGGAGATCCGACTCCGGGCAGGGTAAGTAATCACAAAGCTGCATTTTATTTGTGACGAATGATGCAGGGAATGTAGCAGAAGGGTTGGGGAGCCTAGGGGAGGGGCATGTGGAGGAAACTACACACCAAGACTCGCAACAACAGCACGAGGTTGTTGTTGCGGCGCTCTCAGGAGACAGAGTGTGCCCGGTGGAAAGCGTTCCAATTAAGCTTTCTCCTGCACACTATTCCCTGCGTGCAGCTTGTACAAGTTGTTTTCATTTTACAAAATAAAAGGTTTCCCTTCCTGCAGTGCACACACTGAACTGAGCTTCATGCAGAAAAACAAAACAGCACTGGTCGGTCATCACCCCGGGCTGCCGATGGGCGTCCTGTGAGGTTTGGCTGGCACGGTTCCATCTGCCGGCCTCTGCAAATGAGTGCGATGTACATGCCCTCCACCACGATGAAAAGAAAAATCTCACATCACAATTCAGCACAGCGGGAGAAGAGGAACGTAGGGATGCCAACCTCCTTCGATCTCTCTCACGTGAAGCCATTAAAAAAACGCTACCACTCTACCATAACGGACGTGTGAATGGTTAGCACAAAGATTTGATCGAGAATTCAGCAGGGAGAAGGGTTTTGACAATGCAGGTTTTCATGCTCAAATAGTGTGAACTCCCTATGTATACATGCAAACACGATAGCGAGCACCCATCTGTAAATGATGAAGATACACCGGATGGATCGCACTGTAAAAACAACTTACTGCAGTTTCCTCGTCAGACCTTGCATTGAACCAACATAAAATATCACACGTAAATGTGAATTCACAAAGCCGGCCAAAGCAGTCAAATGTTTTTTTTTTCCTGCATGAGACTGTAACGGGGAAAAAAATTGAGGTTTTAATACATCCGTATTTACCAAGAATGCCACACAAGAGCACCGCCTTGAGCATAAACATGAAAACCAGTAAACTAAAATCTCAATAAATTTTTTTTACATTATACTGCCTTGAATTGTTACGATACGTTCCAAATCATCTACATATTTGTGTTTTCTCCCCAGGTATCTTCTGTTTAAAACGAAATATTTCTTTTAAATCGAAAATATTAATCTTATATAAGTTACTTTATTTTACTAGTCACTACCCATTTTTGTGCCAATTTGCTAAAAGAATTATGGAGCAGATTCACATGCCTTGGCTCTATAATGGTGAATTAAATCTCCCCTCCGGGTGGTTTTCTCAGCATCGGCATATACTCTGTGCCAAAACGAAAGCTTCCTGTCACTTGTAACCAATCACTCGAACAAGCTAGGCATGGCTGCTATACAACAATCATTATTATTACCACTATGGAAAAAAATGGGCCTTCTGTTGAAATACCCATGGGATTGTTCGTTGTTTGTGACTGATATCCACAGCTAGGGGAAAGTGTCGCAAAATATTTGTAACCCAGTGCACGTGTAAATGAACCAAAAACAATATTTCTCCATTGACAGAGAAGACTTAAGGTTCATAAACTTGTGAAGAGTCACGTACATCTTTGCACATATACCTTCCTTAATCTCCCTTTTTAACAAGTCACCCAAGTTACAGCATGATTGCAACAGTCACATATTTTTTGTGGCATTTTCAGCATTTGTACGACCCCAACATTGAAGACCCACCATGAAGCACATGTTCAGAGCCGAGAAGCCCATGCTGGCCGTGCCCCGAGGGCAAGGCGTTGGGGCCGGGATGGGCAGGACGTCCTCCACTGGCCGACACGAGCTGGTGGCTGAAGACCTTAGGCTTGAGCAGGAGTGGTTGGGATGTCCGACGTTGCATGGCCATGCTAAGTGGCGCAGACTGCATTGAGTGTGACCTGCCATACACAGTGCAAACTAGTTCTGTGAAACCATCAAACATGACTGCTCAAACTTGGAATGTGCATGTCATTTTTTGGACCGTGCATCATATTCAAACAAAAGTTGCTTTAACTTACACCGTTATATGTGGATTAAAACAAAAACATTTTGTTGTTATGCCAGTCAACTATACAAATTAAGTGTGCCAATTCCACTAACGAGCAGTTTTATTCATGGCAACCTTACACGTTTGTAACCCAGTGCCTGTTTAAATGGACTAAAACACACGTGTCTGTATTGACATTTGGCTTCAGACTCAAAAACTATGCAACCATGATGGAAAATGGCCAGACCGTTTGGGCAAGATCAATGTCGTCGACAAGAACACGCTAACAAGGAATGCAAAATTAGACGAAAATGTCACGAAGGTGAAACAAATAACGAGAGTGCTTCATGTGCGTTCAAGTCAAAACTTCAGCAACTTTAGCAACGTCCACCCGAAGGGGCCTCTAATTACTCTCAGACCTGCATGACGTCAGTTGCTGCCACTGAGCATCGGTCCCCCGATCCATGGCATGACCGCAAAATTATACTCCACTCGCAGAGCGAGCGAGCGAGCGAACAAATTAACTAACTTGCAGCCAAGCCAAACCACTTCAGACAGCACCTCAAGCAATGTGTAAGTGCTGGTGATCCAGTCAAATGAGTTGTGCTATACAAGGAAATAAAAATCAATGACAACTCTCATGGATGTTTTTTTTAGTAAACCAAATAAATCTAAGTATTTGTTTCACAAGTTAAAATCCTACACATACAATATTTTTCATTCTACTGCAGTTTGGTCAACATTCCGAACTGGCAATCTCCTAAGGATGTCTTTTCTTGTTTTTTTAAATAAAGATGCGCGTTTACACAGAAATAAAATTGTCCTGTGATAGTTTGAAGTATTTTTAAAAAGCGGACAGAAATACATTGACTATAATCCTTCATTTCAGTAGGGGACGTGCTAGCCAGTTGTCTCTCTGCTGCATGACCCAAATTAAGCATGCAGTATTTTTTTTTCAAACTGTTATTATTGAATGCACTTCTGGAGGTACTGCAGCCGCACCCTGCTTGCGAGCCGCGCCGTGCACACAACATCGGTGCGACGAGACTGCCCAATTTAGGTAATGAACTGCTGCCAAGGAAACATTTAGTCAGGCATGCTGAGACAAGTGCATGCCGTGTATGTGCATACCTGGCAGAGAAAGTAGAAAAAAATCTCAACGTGGTTTGGCTGGACAACCCATGTAAAGCAGACAAAACAGAAAACAAAGTGCTCACTGTGATGGAGTTCATGATAGAAGCACTGTGATGGAAGATGGACGATTCGGCGGAACAGGAGGCAGACGCAACAGGCCAGACAAACTTGCGTATGAAACACAAACGGGCTGTCCTGTTACGGCCAAGGTCAAATGCTTAGCAACCACTTTTGGCAGTGAGAACAAAGGGGGAGACGGTTTTATTTAGAACACTGCGCCCACAAGTTAAAACGCACAGGACACTCACTGTTGCTGGCCCTTGTGTGGCACCATCCGCACAGACGGTTGGTGCTTGACGGTGAGGGTCATGTGTGCGGTACGAGAGAGCGAAGCTGTGCGACTCTGGCTGGGTACCCCACCAGCGCCAGCGGCTGCGGCCTGGGGGTTACTGTCCGCGCAGGACGGCCCCCACTTGCCAGCAGGACAGGCACACACCTGGGGCTGCACGCACATGCCTCCGTTCTGGCACGGCGGTGAGCAAACCGCTGAAAATGTACACACACCCAGGTCATCACAATTGAGTAAAAAGCCTCAATGAGCAAAGTCTTACAGCTAAATATTTCCTAGCTCAGGGGTCGGTAAGCTCTGACTCTGGAGCTGCACGTGGCCCTTTAAGGACTGATTCATGGCGTTTTTATTAAGGACCACCCATCTCGTATTCACATGCATTGTGGCTCTTGAAATAGAGTTTATTTTTTATTTTTATAGCTTGTATCCATGGACCAATTGTTACAGTACTATAATTTTCCACATCTCAGTTTGTTACATCTACTATCGAGTTATTGGTTGCAAGACTCAAAAAGCCATAATAAGGATATCAGAAGCTAATTTTGAAGAACGGAGTGAAACTTGTTTATCTGCAACACAAACTGCCGTAGTAAGTTCGGCAATTAACTAAGGCGCTATTTGAAGGCAATTTTTAAAAGGCTTGGAAAATTGTATAGACTAAAAAAAAATCACAAGGTGTTCCATTTTTTTAAAGCACTGTGCTTGCTTACTGGAGTAGAAGAATATAATCTGTGTGTCGCTGTAACACCAAGCCACTGGGAAGACATGTGTGGCCACAACGTCGCTATTAAAAGGAGTGTTTTGAATAAACGTTTCCTCCTCCTCCTCCCTTGGGGTCAAACTTTACGAATCAACGTTGTTAGTCTTCATCCACATGTAATATAGTCTGTGCACCCAGAAATGAGGTTGCCTTTTTCTTTAGCCACAGCCCAAGTGTATAATGCAATTGGCCTCCGAGTTGTTTACTCCTTTTTTTCGGCATTTACATAGCTTCAACAACACACAATAATGTGCATTACACGTATAACAGCGGTTTTCCCTTGCGATGGGTTTTACCATAATTTACAGACCTGGAAAAAAAACGATTTAAAAGTTTTCAACAACTTTGAAAACCCACCCCAAACCACACTTTGTATAGAAGTGTGTGGGAGGTCTCATTAACAGTGCTGGAGTACAATTTCTCGAAGCACACACTTACAAACTAAAGAGGCAAATTGTGTAAACAAACATGGTACTGGTCACACAAATAGGTATTGTTTTCACAGATATTCATCCAGAACACCGTTAGAATGTTCAGGTTTGACTCGGCTCTTCACACACACACACCCTATAAATATGATGTTATGATTACATCTCCTTGGAAACTTTCTGAAGCCACAAAACAGTGTAAGTAGCGATCGGTTTCTGCAACAAAGCCCCCAGGCGCCAATTAGAGGCAACTCCAAGACACAACGCTGGTACCCCTTAGGCAAATGTGCATTTCATATCAAGCATACAGCTTGCACTATACATTACACTCAGTGCATGCAAACGTGATTATGGGTGTAATGATCCACTCAGCTGGTGTGTTTTTTCTTATTAATTTGTCACGATTCAGGGTTGATAATTGGATTCAAACATTTTTTTAAGCATTGCAATGACTGTAGCAGTCTCGCAACTGCACGGGCCATGTTAACCCATGATGAAATAACATACACATATGAAACAAACATGTTGACTCCTAAATCACATACACCAATCCAATGCAATATTAAGAGCGTAATAATCCATATTAATTATCGATTCCATGGAAGGTTACACCGATAAATATGATTACTGGATTTGCATTAGTATGCATAGAAGTGTAGTTACAGGAGAAGACACTGGCGTGCTTTTGTGAGCAACGATACTGCTGGCTCCAAGATGTGTTTGACATAAACATAAAAGGAAGGGTGCAATTGGTTAGTCAATGTTAAGGGGCACATGTCCAGTGATAACAAGCCATGGAAAAAAAGAAAAACAATCTCGACACATGTTCAGCACGTGTGTTAGTAGTAATCTAGTGCCAATAATTGAATGTAATACCACTCAAATACAACACCGCGGATTATACAATGTAACGTTCCACGGACAAAATAAGTCATTCATAACTGTGCGCGTGATACTAACCCTCAAACGTAGTTCATCTTTGAAGTTCTCTTAAATCCTCACAACTCAGGACCACAGCTGTCACTGCCTAGCTAGGTATGCTAAGAGTTACACGGTTGACTGCATACAAATCACGGGAGCAATCATTCTAACACAAGAAGTGAGGACTGTGACACACCCACAAGGTAGCCGGAGGAATCTCTGCCAAGGCTGAAATGCAAATAAAGTTAGTATTCCAAAATTTGAAAAAACGAAATTCTCCCAAAAATGTGCCCAAACTTGGTGACCAAGTCAATGGCAACACTGTATTATAAGAAGCAATGAAGCCAGTTACAGAACGTAACAGAAAAAGGAGAAAACAAATATAATCTTTGTTGGGCAGCTAGGGACGAGCTGAGCATCCAGACGGAGACACAGACCTTCTCAGCGATAGAACTTATTCTATCCCCTGGGGCAGATTCACAGTTACCCCAGCAATCACGCTTGTGAACGGGAATCGGAACATTTTTGACGACTTACGCTGAAAAATTACACTTGATCAATCACACCTCCCATGTACGTGGCACCTTATACACATAAACCATCAGGAACTATGCACAACAACATTCTCTTGCGTGCTGCGAAAGTGCGAATCTGTAAAAGTTGTATTTTTTCACGCAAGGCAAATTTTGTTAGGTATGTTTTTTGTACGCATTAGATATTTAGGGCTTTTTAAAAAATAAATACACCAGCTAGGTTGGAGGGGAATATGAACACACACAAATCATGTTTAAAAGCCGACAAAGCAATTTAAACGACTAAGATGTAGTAAATTATTTAAATGCCTTTGTTCGTTGACTTTTTTTTCCCAAGGCCATGTTGGTCAATTGGATTTTTGACCATACTTCACCGGTCAATGAGGAATGGTGAAAAGGGGGCCCCAAGAGCAGTTCATATATTATTCGTCACCGACTGATGTTAACTGTGGCCAGGAATCGAATGAAGGTCGCTGGGTTCATAGTGCAGTCCATTAATCACTGCGCCACCACTTCAGCCGATGTTATTACACCGATTCCATAACAGGAGGATCCGCTTATGTAAACATCTATTTAGCCGCTGTCGGTCTTTGCTTCGAGGTGGGCAGAAATGGAGACGCAGCTTTTTACATTCAGTACGACCTTGTTCTGCAGTGAAATAATAACCAGGCGACGTATTGACACCAACCTGCGATATAGATACGGTACTCGGATAACCGTTGGGTCAAAACAGAGAAAACAAATTCACTATAAACAACCACAATAATGTATGATCCGACAAAATTTCCCAGCAAGGAATTTATGAACTCTGTTGTTATACAAGCCAAAAACCACACCAATTAATACCAATAGAGTATCTATTTGCCATCAAACTGTTTTATGTATAACATGAGAGGGTATAAATATACAATCAATAAAAACATTAAAGTTTAAATATTAATCATATTATTTAATTCTCACAAAAGGCATTACAAACATTAAACATTCTGAAGAGTAAATCTTTGCTCGCAACATCTATCACGGTGTTTTTCCTTGGAAACGTTTAGGGTATTCATTACTAGATGTAAATCCATAAATCAATGTAAAACCCTGTCTAACTATTAATGTGCCATTTAATTTGATCGTGACGAACACTAACCAGCTTGTTGCATATGGACCACTCTGCACAGAAGCAAAGTAAGAAAAACACTGCAGTTTCTGCACAGTCATGCAGCATGAAAGACAGCCTCTTCAACACCGAGGCAAACGGGCGCCACACAAGCGATAGCAGTCATACTGGGCTTTATTAAAGTACAGCATCTGAAACACTGGGATGTAAAACCATCCGAAGAATTTGGCCGAGAGTGCACGGAGCCTGACAGCATAACAGAGGCCGGCAGATTGCTGGACACCTGCCAAGCGGGGGCTATCCTGGCACTCACCCGGTAGTGCTGCACAAATACCACGATGCCAACATTAACAATTAATTCCCAATACACCATTAAATGGATGTACTGACGGTACACCAGTGCAGCATAACACACCGGTCCTCGTAAACGGCAACTGCATCCGTGCAAACTCAGTTGCCGTAGATTGAACTGCTGCTGACTCCAGCTGACGATGAAGCTCGATCAGACACTGCAGCCGTTGCTGACGATCCACCAGAAGAAAATGCCTGAGAAGTCGCTGCTGCCGCTGACCGAGCTAATTCTGGAGACCCGCCAAATAAAAATGAGGTCAGAACTGACGATGTCGTTGTTGTGCTTGAGCGAGCTGCCGACTCTCCATCAGAAGTTTCCCGAGATTCAGCAGCTGCTTTCCCATTCGAACGTGTGACACGAGCCATCATCTTTCGATGCCATCGTCCGCCAAGAATGATTCCGGAAACGAATCGAGGAACCGTCCAAACAAGTCTTGGGCACGAGTCAAATTTGCCTTTGGAACATGGAGTCAGTTGTCATCAGGCTGGGTGCTCTACGGCAACAGACTGTGAAGATTCATAACATTCGTCTTCCGACTGCTTCGACATCACGGGAACAGGTTTTGACGCACCCCGCAAGATTATATGACCGGAGTTGTGCATCGCAAGAAAATAAATAATTGTGAAAAATTTAGCTTATTTCATCCCGCGCACCGGTGTACCGCCGATACATTCAAATGCAAATATGTCCAAATACCAATCCTGCTAAATATACAGGGAATTATATTATTTCAATCGGTGGTCTTGCTGAAAAGCAAAGGAAATATGTAAAATAAAGCATGAGGTGTGACACCACGGTTCTTGTCGTGGATTATTCTGAACCAGCCATAAGACTCATTATCTGGCACAATCCTGCCACGTGGATCGTCGTGCCACAGTATTAATAGCGCCACGCACTGGCTCTAGATCATATGTCACATAATTTCAATACAGTACTTCTGTATTTATAATAAACAGCCTGCAGATTACCCAGCTCCCACTTGCACGATAATGATACTCGGACGGCTGGAGATGTATTTTTACCAGCAGGCACTGGCTGCACATTGTTATAGATAAATTTCACACCCGAGGAGGAGCCCAGAGTGAGTTGACCTGGCTCCATTCCATGACATACAACCAAAGTGCTTTGAGAACACGAACAACACTCCTCACTTTGCCCTGCTCCTGCGATGGTGAATCCACCGAACTTGAAAATTATCTATGTGATACGTATTTAATGGAGCCATCGATTGAAATTCATTGTCACATTGTCAATACTTGTGTAAAATCGTACATCTATAATGATAAATGATTTTCAATATCTATTTGTAATACGTTAACATAAAAACCTGCAGCCATTAGAGATGCCAAATTTACCATGGGAAAACAGAATTGATTTTTTATTCAAAATGGGACTCTGAATTATGACAATTCATCAGATTGTAAGGGGGGAGAATAATTACATGCCTGCTACATCTTCGCAACATGCATTGGTCACAATGGCTACACTCCTCTGTGGAAGAATGATATAAAGTGAACTCGAGACCTAATATGTACAAACTTAATTTGTAATCCATAATATAGGTTTTTGGGTAAGATCGCGTAAATATAAATGTGTCGTTAAACCCGCCACCACCTGACACAGCCAACTAGTAAGGTTTGTCACGTAAACAAAACATGCCAATTCGGGTCTAGTACAGCACATCGGTGTGTTGCAGAGCAAATCCACAACATTTACAATCCGAGTACGACGTTTTGCCAGTAAGTACAACTAGCTTCATCAGGCGACAGCCAGATTTGTGGAGAAATCCTCCTGTTTCCTTCCTTAAATAGAGGGATAGATGCGATGACGTCACTTGTGAGCCCTGTATTATGGATGATATTGGTCGCGAAAGCCTACGTGTTAAACTGAATTTGTTATATCCCACCTCTGATCCAACACTTGAGACAAGGATTGATCGACCACAGATGTGTGAAACTCCAATACTGTAAATGTGGCAAAGTTATTGCAATAAGTGGGTTTGCAAACCCATTTGTGAATCTTTAACTGTTAGCTCATCATGTGCGTGAGTTTTCTCTGGGTACTACAATCTCTTCCCATGAGCACAAGCTTCTTGAATAGAGAATGGCCAAACATCACAATGCATGACCCTCCTGAGAAAGAGCTTTGAGACTTGTTGAGGCTTTCCTGGAAAATAGATGACGTTAGTCTAATGGGTAAGTGTAAATAACATTTATACTAATGCCGTTTACAGAATGACTGTATTTGGTAATGTCACATACTGAAGACTCGCACGGGTTACGTTGCATTCAAATGAGGACTAAAGCAGCTAATGCATCATACTTTTCCTAAGCAACGTTGAGTAAGTGCACTGTCATGTCCTACAGACACATCAACAACGGAAGAAAACAGAGGAATCTGAGGCTGTTTGAAAAAGCTGTTTGTCTGAAAAATCTTGCTGCCGATTTGGTTGTGTTTGGGTCGCCTGAGTAAAACCAATTTGGAAGATAAACATTTATCTTTCGTGCATTTTCTCAATGGCACCTGGAAGTTGATTGATTGGTTCTCACATCAATGAATGGCCATTTATGCAGCAGCCACCCAAATTCTTGGCTTTAGTACACATGTTGTGCGGAACTGAAGTGATTTTTACCAGCTGACATAGGATCTTCCCACAGATGCCTCAGGATGTAGTGATTAACTTTCCATTTACTTACAGTCAGTAGACTGTGAATTACTAAGACTGCTATTCTGTTTTCCATTAGTACAATGGCGATTGAAAAATGTGTTGTCAAGTTGCAGCTTCAGTGAACTTATATATAACTGGTACCGGAACTAACAGGAATGCGTTCTTCAGGAAGGCCAGTTGGCCCAAATGTCAAGTCCTTCCTTTCCTCTCAGTGAGAGTATAAATAAATATGTACAAGGCATATTATTATTTTTAGAATTCTATTATTTTTAAGGGAACACCATTTTTATGTGAAATCCCAAGATACCGCCAAAATATATGTTGTAACGCATATACATCCGAGAAGTATATCACTCACCTACATCTTTATAAAGGTTACCATTATGAATAATAACAAATGTTGAATGAAATGGACGTACTCAAAATGTAGCACATCACAGTCAACCTGAAAGAGTGCGGTCGTTTTAATGCTGATAATAGTTATGAAAATGTGACCTCACCTATCTGCTATATTGGCAAGGTCACGAAGGTCGTATTGGTTATCAGCACGTTGTTCTATTTAGGAACGTAGCAGTATATTCTGACATTTAGAGAAAGCACTATGGGTAAGTTCTTAAACAGTTGGTCCTTCCCAAACACCACAACAGGAGAAAGAGCGCCATCTAGAGGGAGCACACTTCTGTATCATTGACAGCGCATTTTAAACTCGCGCAATTTCAACCATTGCCCTTGCAATGTTGTTAAATTACAGTACAGTTTTGTTCATAATCGCACACCGCAGAGACACAGGATAGAGGGTGAGGGGTCAGGACGTACGTTTGGTGCACATCTGGGAGCCGGGGCTCTGGCTCCATCCTGGGCAGCACTGTGCTCCACAAATGTTCGGCCTGCATCAGATACAGCAAGACAATTTTAACGATGGGCAAACACAAACACAACGCCTCATAGTTTCTGTTGTTGATTACGAATGTTGAAGTATGAATGACGGCAACACATACAACGCATTGGGAGAGCTCTGCGTGGTGGTGGTGGTGCGAGACCAGTCGCCACCCAGCTCATGTCGCCTCCAACACCCAAGGGATTCCCGTGTCACGCCGTGGCATGTTGTATTTTACAGCACAATTGTATAAAGTTACATTCAGGGTTCAATTGCCTATCACCCTTTTCAAAGTACACCATGAAGTGCAAAAATTACGAGGTCAAGGCATAAGCACGGCTTCACCACTTGCGGCATTTGCGATGATGGACGGGCATTAATTTTTTCGCGATGGAATTGTTTTACAATTCGCAGGCATCGTTAAACAGCTCATGGGTGCGTCTACACTCGAGGACGGCAATGCTTCAACGGCGTGGGCTTGTGTCCCCCAGGTGAAGCCATTAAATTACTGGAGCGAAATGAATATCATCCGGTGGGGAGACGCAGCACGCTGGGTGGTGGGGCAACAGTTAAGTGATTAACTTTGATTAGACACTTAACGTGATTACACCGATTGGTGCCCGTGGTTGTCACAGTCACTTTAAGATGTTTTCTTGTTTTTGTTTTTTGTTTGTTGCGGTTGCACCCGATTCAAGAGCCGAATGGCTCACAGGGCTATACCAAATAAATGAAATGGAAACTGAAAAAACCAAGTCACAGCAACTGGCTTGGGAAGAGGTGATATCAGGGGGGATGTGAAGGGAGTTAAACCCTCAAGCACTTGCATAATTGATGAAGCAGTGCATCTACGCGTGATGCGATTGATCTTTATTTCCCCTTTGATCGATGGCTTCGAGAAGAATACACGGATTCCTCAACAAGGAATGTATTTTGTTCACCCAAGGCAAAAGCGGGTCACCCAAACCGCACACACACGACCCGCAAAAAACCCAACACATTTGGCAACAAACAAGCCAGAAATGCACAAAATTTGATGAATAAAGCATCTTATGCAACCGCAACTCAAGACGCTGATGTGTGTATAAACCAGCACACAAATAAACCAGCACACACACGTACAAGCCCACCCATTGTACACAAGCCAAGGAACAACATACACAAACCGACCCAAAACACACACACACACACACAAATGCAACCTCCACTTTGCGCAAATACGACCTACGGAGTGCGTAGTAACATAAAGCACGCAGGTCAATAGACCATTGAAGGTCTTCGCCACGCCGTCTTGTTTGGCCATACTTCACCACGCTGGTCAATGCGTGTTGGTGACGGGTGGAGATCAGGACCGGGGAAGATCTCGACTCCACTTCCCATGCAGTACAGTGCGGCACAACGCACAAATAACACCAACACAAACATAAACCCACGAAACTTAGGAGGCACGTGCATTTACAAACCCGTGCTTCTAACGTATACTTCAAACGCACAAATAACGCGTCGATAAAAGTACAGTACTTTAACGAAGGCGCGCACCAACAACCCCAAACACTGACAGCCACAAGAAGACAGCTCCAGGAGCCGGGGAAGAACCAGAGATGGTTCCTCCAGTACTCCAAGAGATGGTCGCTCCGTCCCATGTACCCTGGACTGAGCCCTCTGGGCGAGTTGATTCCTCATCGGGTCAAGAGATGGTCCCCTCCATCCCGGGACCCTGGGTCCATCGCTCCACCTCTGGGACCCACCCCGTGCGTGCCGCTGTGTGAGCAAGTCACAACGAGCCCGACTGAACTCACCCGGGGAGCGGTGCTGCCTGCCGTGGAGCCGAGCCTTGCTGATGATGATGCTGCTGATGATGCTGTTGCTGATGCTGTTGCTGATGATGATGCTGGGTCCCCGTGCCAGGCCGGGCCCGCAGAGGCAGCGCCCCATCGGCACCGTACGCGGCGCGGTGGCGCACGGGGCTGTCCCTGAAGCCGGCCACGCGGTGAGACTGCGCGATCTGCTGCTCGTGCTGCTGCTGCTGTTGCTGCTGCTGCTGATGTTGTCCCTGCTGTTGCTGCTGCACCACGTATGTGAAGACCCTGCGGTAGCTTCTATGTTGAGCCCCAGCCAACGCGGCCAGCAGCAACAGCAGCAGCAGGCACAGACAGCGGCACGGGCAGACTGCGAACCTCGCCATGCCTCTTCTCCGCGGGGGCCCCGGGGTGGCCGGGAGCCAGGGGGGTGGTGGCGGTGGTGGTGGCGCAAGCGGAGGGCCGCCGAAGGTCGCCTCCCTGGGGGACGCTGGGACGCGACCTGTGCCTCGACCGGGTCGTGGGTCCTGGCGCTCGGAATGCGTGCGGATTGCCTCGCTGGGATTTACAGCATTTACCTTAATAAAGAGGCGGGGGAGGTGGCTAGCGAAGCCTGGAGGAGGAGGAGGAGGAGAAGGGGGAGGAGTGGAAGGGTGCGCCGGGACGGGACCCCCACTACTACCAGGAGGCGAGAGAGAGGGCACTTTCAGTCGGAGGGGGATTTGACCCCACCGCGCTCGGTGGGAATTGGCTGGGAAAGGGCGAGGCTTTGGGCACCAACTGGGGAACTTTCACCACAAAGAGAAGGAAGTTGGAGATCGCTGCCCCAAGCAAATAAAAGGCTCTTTCACGAGGAGATAGGGCCCATTAATGTGAGGTCGGAAGAGGCCCTACCAAGAAAATGAAGAGGGGACACGCATCAAAGCACAAGACGATGACCCATCGGGAAAGTTTTAGAAAGCAGGTCCAACTAAAGGGTTAAAAACTAGAAAGCAGAGCTCCCAATATAATGGAGAGGAACAGCTCCACCAGAACAATTATAGAGCATCACCAGATGTAGAGTTCTAGCAAGACGGAGTGGTGGGTGTCTACCAAGATGAAATTCTATGGAAAGGGGGCCCTCCAGAATAGAGGGGTCAAAACTCTACTGACTTCAGGGTTCTACTGAGGAAGAGGGGGTGGAGAGTCCGTTGATATTGGAGTCCCACCAGTCGAAAAAATAAGAGTGTGGTCTCGCGAATAGGGGAGGGGTGGGGGGAAAGGTAGTGGCTTCCCAAATAGAGTGACCTACACAGAGTCCTACCAGAGCAAGAGAACGTTAGGAAAGAGTGTCCCATCCCATACAAGCCACCGCTCAGTGTGAGCTCACTGCCCGCAGGCTACACATGACTTATCCCCCGAACCGCATCCACGCGCAGCCCACGCGTTGCCGGGGAGTTCCCGCCTCTCAGTGGCGGGGCTTGTTGGGGGGGAACTCCCCAACTTGCGGCCAATGTTCACCCACCACTGTGGTTGCGTGTGGGTCCAATCGTGTGGAGCGCGCCGGTCCTCTTGATGTGCGTCACCGCCCTGATGGGCCTATTGCAATCGCGAGACCCGCGCCGGCACCGCGTGTGCTTTGTGGGTGTGTGTCGGGCGGAGGAGAGCGGAGGGCGGCGCCAACAGATGGCCCATCCAACCAAGCGGTGACCGAGCAGATGCCATGCAGCTGAGTCGTTACCACCAATGTGCGTGGGTGGGAGGTGAGGTCACCAAAGTGAGAGTTCACTGCAGGTGCAGGGTCATTTGATCAGTTTTTCAGGCTCAGCCTTCCCCCCCTCCCTCCCTCCCTCCCCCACAAGAGTTTTATTTTTTACAAGTTTTATTTTAGGGAGGGAAGCGGATATGATTGAGGGAAAAAAATATAGAACTTTGCAGGCGTGCAACAAGCCAAATAAAACACATTTAATGTTTCAACGCTATATTTGCCGTCCCACGACGAGCAGTGTAATGCAAATAGAAATTAGTCACATTCTTATTGCTTCTTAGTGCAGTATTGCATGTGCTTCATGTTTTGATTTTTATACGATTCCTACATTACACAAACCTTTATTTAAAACCACAGTGCAGATTTAAAGTATCTTAAGCAAACTGGACTGGAACAATAATGGTATCAAAAAGTTTGAATAAAATGACATAAAATGTAGAAAATGTTAATTTATTGAAAACATTTCCAAATATAACGATGCACACATTGCATGTTCACACCCCAAACTGCAGGATACAAGCAATACGGTATTAAGATATTTTTTTCCCTAAAGGCACAACTCCACATGAATGAATTCCAAACATATCAATTACTCTCTCACAAAAATACTTGTACGGTAATAATTTACTCCTAGAAGAGTCATTTTATTCAATCATAACAAACTGAAAAGAGAAGACATGGTATGATGTGGAATCGAAATTAGCAATGATCAATTGAGTAATATATGGGTCTCATCCAGCTGACATCTGTTTTTTCATTTCAAACTTGAATACCACGAGTGCAGCTACTGAGCTTGAGTGTGCATTGCAGCGTTGAGATTTGATCCTCTGCTCTGTGCAGCTACTACACAGAATTCCTAAGCTGATTGCAGAGCTCCTGTAGCTCCAACCCGAGGCTGTCCATCGCCTGCACAATGTCCATGAGGTCACCCTGTAGCTCCCCGGTGCTCATATCCGTGTGCTGCTGCTGCTCACAGTCAAAGTAACACCATATGTGGTCATGTATCACATCATGTACACACGATTGCAATCTTATCATACGTTTTACAGTATTCATATGACATATGATCAGAAAAGATGGACCCTTACAAAGAAAATGGAACATTAATTGAACAGATGCAAAAAAGCATGGAGAGATACATGCTGGGAATTCAAATAAGACACCAAAAAAAGGAATACTTGGATCAGATCACAATTTAATATTTGAGATATCTTGACTTAAGGAAAGTAAGTGGGGTTGGACAAGGATGCATTACGAGAAAGGATGGCCAATGGATGGGACTGGAATTGCAACCAAAGGAGAAGACATGCCTGTGAGGACAATCAATCAACAATATTAGCACATGCACCAGAGATTGATGGACCATGAAGGATGGTGATAATGTGGAGAGGCTCTTATCCGGCAGTACATAGTGCATGTTTGCTGCTGCTGATGACGATTCCAGTAGCATTGTAGAAAAAGTGATGAAACAGATTTGTATATTTTTTATTAGCATACACTATAATAGTCTATATTTTTTATTCATAAAGCAATAGTTAATTTAAAAATATATTTTTGAGCATAAAGTACATTCAAGCCTAAAATGTTACAAAATAAATTTTACTCTGGGTCCAAAACAGCCCAACAATGAGTGTTTAATGGTAGCTATGCACAGCTGCTAGAATTCTCTTAAACTCTGCTTGCACTCACCTTGGCCTTAGCAGAAAGGCCCCGGAGGCTGAGACGAGCTGATGACAACAGCTGCATGGCCTCCTGCGCATTGCCCTTTTTTTTGGCACATTGGATGGACACTGGAAGGAAAAGACCAAAAAAGCCATCATCAAATTTGTGTTTAACAGATGTTGTTTGGATATGTTGAGAAGGCCAATTAGGAAATAACAAAGAGTGTTCTATAACTTTAAATCTTAAGTCTATACACGTTTTCCCCCTAAAATAAATACAAATACTAGCAAGTAATTTCATGATTTCTAAACATGTTGTGCTATAACATACCTTGAGCAAGTTCTACTGCCCTTTTGGCTACAACCTTGAATGAATTGATGTCCTTCTCCCAATCACTGGATAGTGTATCACAGCGATGAGCTTTTGACAAAAATTGCACAACCTACAAAAAAGCAAAGAATAATTACATGCTTTAGAGGAAATCATAGTGGAAATTCCAACAGTGCAAAAAAGACAAAAAAGATGCACACTTTATTACAGACATATTTCTTATAACACTGTGTCCTTATAACGCTGTCCTGGAGGAAAATTCCTGTGCGGATTAGCCCATATGTAGTGTAATAGCGCCGTCTCACTGACACTACACATACATCGAAGTAGATGAAGCATTGCCCGTAGGGGCATGTCTTTGCCTTGCCCTTATATGGTCTTATGGAACGTGAATCGAGGTGTCTATTACATTGATTCTGCTCAGTCAAACTGACAGCCACAAAGTACCGATCCATCGAGGGTTAATCACTGCATAGATTAATTGGCAAGCGATCCATGGTTAGTAGCTTCCCGTGGAATGTGTTTGCAGCAGACCGTGGTTAATCTTACGCAAACTCCGACCAAGTGCATAACTTGTATTTTTTTATGTCATCATTCAAAGTTAATTTTATTTATAAAATGGTTCCATACATTTATCATGTGTACAGTATCATTATTAAGACTATTATCGATGACCCAATGAAGCCCTCATATCGCTCATAGGTAAAAATAGTGCTGTCAGTAACGCATCTCCATTGGAACCATGTTATAGTTACCTCCTATAGCGCTGTTTCGTACAGCGCTTCGTTTACAAAGAACATATCCTCAGCGCTATCAAAGGTATGCCTATATTGTGAAACATTTCTTATAAACAGTACCATGTTTGTAACAACAAATTGCTTATTTATACATGACAATATAATTTACAGTATTCGTATTTATACAGCATTAGTCAGAGACCATAAACTTAATGTACTTACACAAATTAAAATAAGGCCAGATTAAATCTAGTTCTGTTTTCCCATGAGGCAAGACATGATCAAACAACATGAGCCACCCCCACCTTGTCACTATCCTCTTGGCTCGGGGATGTTCCATCGCTGTACAACTTGGCGTAGAGACGCCACACGTTGCCATTACTGCTTACTCGGCTGGTGACACGGCCCATAAGCTCCCGGGCCTTCCCAAGCAGAGCAGCTGCAGAATCCCCCTTGAAGTCCGGCAGCCCCTCCGTCACTGCTCTCACCACAATATGGAGCACCTGCCGCAAGGCATCACAGAAACTATTGTACCTTAAGATTCAACAGACGACTGGAAACACAACACTTCAACAGCATTAAAGAGCCACCTGTGAACATTATGGGAATGTGTGTATGTTTATCCTGCAGCCATGGCTACGCAGCCAGACTGGTCAAAGTTATGTAAGAAAAGGTAAAAATGCATGTCCTCCTCAAGCAGTGTAATTTAGATAAAGCAAATGTGCTTGATCACCTCTTCATCATTGTAACCCTCCTTCAAGTCCATCATGCGATGATATGCCTTGATGACGTCAGCAAAGTCCCCTACATCTGCGCTGGTCAAGATGTAGTTCTCCCATATTTGCCAGCTCTCGTAGTTACACCTAAGCGCCTCCTGAAGTGTCCGGTAAGCTTTGAGCCTTATGTGACAAAATACAAAGAAGCTTGATATGCATTACACAAAGCATTTCCTTTATGAACAAAATGAAAATATTACAATGATTGAGTAACATTTTGACATGATTTTTATTATTTTCATATCACACTCTAAATGTATTGATTTGCATATATATTATACATACAGCAGCAGGAAAAATCCATTGCTACTGTTGTAATGTTTTTTTGTACAGGAATCCCTTGCCAACCACAAAGGTTAGGTTTTTTCACGTTCCTGAAAAATCTCGCAGTTGGTAAATGCGCAGTTGGTAAACTCCAGGGGGCCTATGGGAAGTAGGGGGTTAGGGGAAGCATTGCCATGGTCAGACTCGTCATAGCTTAACTAAGTTGCCTCTTTATAAAATACAGAACATTACACAATAACATAATAAAACATAAATAAACATTACAGTAATTTTATATACGTTTAATATTAACGATGATGAATGAGATAATAGGGGAAGGGCTGATTAGAAGGAGGACGGCTTCGCCCACCCTCCCCCTCTTCCTCCGGCAACATTAACGTGTACTCTACAGAATGTACAACAAACAAAACAGATGGACAGCTGATTGGCCAAGCAGCGCCCTGGCCCCGCGAAATTTGTAACAATGATGTCACGCAATACATTGAAGTCTTCCTGTGATGCAATGACGTACTAACTACGTCATGTGATTTCCTTAACACCGTGCTTACCCGCGGATACCAGACCGAGCAGTGCCTCGCGTCTCGCGAGAGCTTGCGAGACACGGTGGATGCTACGCGGTAGCACCAATTTTGATTTCACGACTCGGCGTGACGACCGATGAGTCTATCACTTAAACCGAGATGCTCGCGGTTACTGTATAAATAGAATATAAAATGTTTGCTCAATGTTGTAGATAACGTCATATAAATGTAGTATTCTCCAAATGGTGACAATAATTGCAGTGTCGATGTTGAGCATACAGTGCGGTAATGACACAGCTACCATGAGATTCATCCCACACGTGGATGGAGGAGCTCACATCATTACAAAATTGGATGCATCCCCTCCAAACTGCAAAAGAGGCACTTTTCCACTGAGATTCTAACAATCATGGCCTCAATACAGCTTGTTCAATAAACACTGGCACGTGACTTTTACGGGACTACAGACAATGCAAGAGGCTTGGCATAGTGATGCCAGAGCAGGCAAATAATTGACCAATGAATATGCACTTCATTTAAATAAGTATAACTAATTGCAGAGTATAATCTAAGCCTTTTAAAGGCAGTTTTTTTAAGACAATGAATCATGTACATTGGTATTTAGAATTCAAAGTTATTTTTACATTCAACAAGCAATGTCTTGCTGGTCAAATGTGTCACAGTGTCATATTGGAATTCTACAAGGCATGTCCTATTGTGGCTTTCTTACAAGTACATACGGTGATTTACAGGATTAAGATCCTCTCTTTCCATGTTAAATTACATGGGTTATGATAAATTGACGTATAGTCACAAGAATGGTAATGAGCGAGCTTGGCATTGACCTTAACAGTTGTGCGGGGCCCCCACCAGTCTCTCTCCTTACCCTTGGCTCAGGGACAAGTGGAAACAAATCCACAAAAAGTATACAAAACTCAATAACTTGTTTAATGATGCTATCGAAATTATTAATAAACTCCGCAAGACTATGAAAATGCAGTCAATCGGTCAATTATTTACAAACAAGTTCAGTAGGACGTGGAGATCTTATTAAGTCAGTTTGGAGGCTGTGTTTAGATGTTTGGAGACTGTTAACACGGCTGACTATTAAATGTTGAAACCCTCAAGCTCAAAGTTGTCTCTAACACAAGAGATGCGACGGCACAGCTGGCCAATGGGAAAGCTCTTGGGCAGTTATTTTGAGTGGCCAGTGGCAAAAAATAGTTTGTTCGATACCACCCAGCCTTCGTACTATTCTAAGGTTTAGATATCACCACTGTTTATCAAAGAAGTTGGCAAACCCGGCAGCAGGGATCCTTCTGCCTACACATATTCTGTATTTTTAGCAAGTGGAAATTTTAAAACTATATTTACAAAAGTAGAATTTCACCAAGAGTAAATGGTCAAAGGACAAAAATGTTAAGAGGCTCGTAAATCCGATACAAAATTTGGGTGAGAGTGAAATGTGGCACAGCCAAATTTTGCATCCTGATTAATATGAAATGCAACCGAGTATCTATATTGTGGGAAAATAAATTAGTGTCCCACCCCACATGGTCTTACTGCTGCATTATGCCCTGTGGATGCCTATTTAGTTTAATTTTGGATGTTCGTACCAAATTAGCATTTTAAAAAATACCAAGGACATATATACTAATCTAGATTTGAAGTTTTCGTGACTGCAGGGATCCATACATTTAAGTTATTAAAATAAATTATATTTTATTTTATAACTACGTGACTTTACCAAAAGAACCAAAGAGTATATATACTAAGTTTCACAACCTGACCAAAAAGAATATTCATTTTGTCTGCAATGTCAATTACTTGCATATCTAAATTAAAGTATGACTCACTTCTGGTTTAGTCGGATATAAGCAGTTGATAGGTTGTTCCAAGCCTCCGAATTCTGAAAAAGACAAATCCGACTTCACTCACACTTTTAACAGTAATATGCATTTGAAACAAAATCTACTGCAGTTTTTTTTCCCCCAAAAAAATATCAGTGTAGATGTAAAAAGCACACAGTAAAAAGAGCCATTTTCTATTCTACTGGCATAGTGGAAGCCTCTGATAACATGGAAGAAAAACAGCTCGAGTTTGGCGAAATGAAAAGAGCGGAAAGCAATGAATGGCAGCTTGGGGTAATCCCACACAATGGCAGGAAGCCACAGCTAGCATGACCCCAAAGGTTCCACCCCACCCACCCGTCTTCCAGACCCAAATGCTGCCGAGCAGCATTGGGACTAGAACACTGGTGTTTTTTTACACTCGTGAATGCAAGCACAGGAAGTACTCGCTGCCTTTCCCTAACTGTACTCACATCAGGTTCCAAGGTCACGCAGCGCTGGAAGGCACGCGCCGCACCGTCGTATCCCTCCGTGGCCATGTACGCACAGCCGAGTGAAAACCATACACCCAGCTGTCCGACACACACCATAGGATTTTTTTTAAAGAGTAATTTCTAGATCGCTTTATACAATAGCTTTCAAATGCTGGACTTGCTCATTCAGGCAGTGTGCACGTACAAAAACAAATAACTAAATATTGTACCACTTTGACAATGATGAAAACACGGACATATTCAATTGAAACACAAGACACCAATACAATTGTGAGTGAGGGCATCAACGTTTTGCACCTTTGCGAAACATCGTTTTACTTTTTCTTATTTATACAGTGTTTGAGTTACAACTGAAATGCCCATGCCAACAGCACTTCCAATGAAGGCTGTCCACATCTTGTCCACGTTCCCTGTAACCACTTTACTCTCATGGAATGTGTGAGCAAAGTTTAAAATCAGCCTGGCAGTATATCAGAGGGGCTTACCACATCTGATAAACTTGCAGCATGTATATTGGAAACAAGACAATGTTCTAACTAAGGTTCTGCGGGTTTTTACAAAACATTAAGATATTTCCATAAACAAAGCACACTACCTCCATTAATCTGGGAACGAAATATTTCATTTGAGGTTAGAGTTCATTGTGACTTAATATGCTACTGTATATGAAGACTGTTTGATATGCAACTGCATACGTTCGACTATTCTCATGGTTTAACATGGAGGCATATAGGTTAATAATTAACAGATGCCTTTTGCCCTGCCCCAATATTTCTCTCGGTTACACAGCTAGCTTTTTGTTTACAGCTGCCCTAATGAAAGCCTGCACGCCTGTCCGTCACCTACACAACCACGAGTGTCCATGGTGGTACATGTCCACACTATGCGGCTTTGAAACTAAAAATTACATATTTGAAAAGCCACTGCATAAGCCTATATATTACTATTGTGTTTGAATCTCTTTTTTTTACATAAAAAACTATAACAGCTTCAAAATTATACTTCATATATTATTTTAATATTAATTTCAAACAAAAAACCTCAGACTTTGTTTAAAGATGGAAGAATTCCAGTAAAATGTCAAAATATTTCTCTGTGTTTAAATAATAAAGGTCTTGTGAGCTGCTCAGTTTAGCTTATGTAGCCTTGGCTTGGCTCCTAGAGGTTTCCTTTGGGCTTGCAAAGGATTCTAGGATTGGCTGCTAGCTTCTGCCTCTAGTCCGAGCAAAATCCCAACACTAACAGCACTTTCTGATCGCCTAACCAAGTCCTGGGGATGATAATCCCCATGGACGGATGTCTTGTCAGTCACAATATTTCTGCACTCAGCACACACGTGGCCCAGCGCGCCATCTTACAGCATCGGGATTCGCTGCCCGAGTGCTTCTGCTGCGCTCAGCTACACGGAGCACCACAGCGTATAAATTCCTCACGTGGGAGGGCGAGTGTACCTAATACACAAGGCTTCAGTATACTCTCACGACGTGGGGAATTTACACACTGCACAGCCCCGTGCAGCGAAACACATCCGCCGTGTGCACACCACGCGTATGGTCGCAATGCTCTTTCCGATACAAATACTACATGTACAAAGCAACATTTATTTATTTTTAAATCAACAGCTGGAAATTTTTCAAAAGAAACATTATCCCAACACAACTTGGTAAAAGGACTTCCATGCGAGATCTATGGGGACTGTTTGGTTGGTGGTCTGACTTTGAGCTACAGACGCTTTTAAAAGTCTATTAATAAAGTCAATAAAATTAGGCTTTTCATGCTGAGAGTATTTTGTTTGAACTCTTTAAATTCTCTATTGCAAACTTTTGAAAAAACAAACAAGTCAAGATTTTAAGAAACTGACTAATCTTGAATCGGGATTGCCAAAAAAGGTCCACATATAATAATACATCAAGGGAAATTAAATTTTGTAAACAATGGTACCAATTGAGGGGATATGTTACTTTTCCCACAAGAGACCCAAGGTTTTTCCAAATGTTGACAGAACAAACACCATACTGAAATGACAATAAAGCCAATTGCGTTAACTTTTCACCGTTATATTCTACCCAACCCTGAAAATGTCTGCGCTCTTAACACATCTCAAGCACTCGCCCATCCATCACATAAAAAAATCAGTTTTACAACCTCCTTCACTCATGCAAACAATGTCTCATGTTGATCTTCACCAACCCCCCCCCCCCCCCCCCCCACTGGCACTAGAGCTAACTCACTCTTACTTCCACCCAGCACAATATTCACAACGAAGTGATCCACTCATTCATGAAATACGTGATACAAAACGTCGGGCAAAAACAAATCAATTTTACACAACAAAGCATGCCTGCAGAGGGTTGATGGTGACAGAGCGCTCGAAGCAGGCGATACACTCCAAAAACTCCTTGTTGCGGAGGTGCAGCAGGCCCTTGGAGCGTTGTGCACGGGCGCTGCGGTGGCCTGACACCTCCCACGCACGCTCGTACGGTTCGTACTGGCGCGTCACGTCCCCGAGCAGACACAGTAGGGTCGGCGTCTCCTTCTTGGCCAGCTCCTGCCGGACCACCTCTTCTGCCTGTATCAGCACCGTCACAAGAGTAAACTTGAATGCATACACATGTACTTTCCTTTATCAATCCACTTCTGGATGAAGGCCTCCCAATACAATGTCGGTCATGGAGGTGGTTTAACCATACTGAAGGCGTGGCTGGGTGCCCAGGACCAGATCAGATATCACGCACTAGTGGTGTTGGCCACGGTTGGAAATGTAACGCAGGCCTCTGGAATCATAGTGCAGTGCACTAATCATTGCGCCACCACTCCATCCGTGGAAATGCATGTGCATATATATACACACACACATACTATTTATCAGATTGGTTCCCAATGTAGAAGACTAGAAATTCCACTTATGGTTCAGTGCTGCAAATAGAGGTACTACGCAAAATTGGTTTAATAGTGAAGATACTGCAACTTTGACAAAATGTGGACATACACCATTAGAATATACCACTGTGATCCTTTACACTATTTTACCAACTAGCATGTGTGTTCGTTTGTGTTAAAAGCATCACATATTTATGGACATTGTGCTATGTTTCATATATAATTCTTAATGGGCAAGTACAAATATTTAACATTATAATTATATATAATGCCTAGTTTAGGCAACATTTTCAATCTGATAACGGCAATTTAAGAAAATACGCCTAATTATTTTTCCCCTCTCATGGGAACATAATGGTAATTACAGCACGATGACATTTCCCGTCCCATTGCAGTAGCGCTTGCTCCAGCCCTAAACACACCAAGCTCGACTTGGCAGACAAAAGCCAGGCGTGTTCGAGACCTGGCCTCGCGGGTCCCAACAACCTTTCCTTTATTTCTCCTGGGCCCTACAACTCTCACGCGAACAACGGCCACAGCCGCACTGGCAAACACACGATGCCACGTCCGAGACCGCAGCCTCAAACAGAACATCTTTTATTTGGAACTTACATTCTTAACTCTTTTGCAATTCATTCAACGAAATAATTTCAACCACCTATATATGAAAAGTCATCTTTTCATTGCAATAAGCACAAAATTTCATAAACACATTTTAGGGGAAGTATTCTATTTAGTAAAATTATCATCCAGCTTTCATGTTGTTCCAAAATATAATTTTACTTAAATATTTTATATATTAGAACCTTCACAATTCCTGCACACAACCTGCAATCAGTTTTAACTGCAGTTCCTCAACAATTGTGAAGTGCAATTTGCATGAACACTATAAAAAACTAAATATTATTTCTGTAAGCAGCCATATTCCAAAATAAATGACACTGCTGTTCACACTCCTTGATGAATTGAGAAAACTCGGCGCTCCTTAACCCTTCTTCCTTCTTTGACATGGCCAACCCACTACTTCATCTAGCACAGTGCTTGACCTACTAAACACAGGAGGCACTGCACACAAGGGAGCTTCTGTAATTGAAAAAGTGTCCGTGTCTCATTGTGCGCGCGCCAGCATTCCCGACGGCGGCAATGCAGTCGGCGCTCCACGGTTCCTGCGTGAGGAAATGATCAGTCACGAGAGACGAGACTCTGGCCCGGAAGGATTTTGAGTCGGTTTTACAGGACAACCCTCTTCTGTGCACCTTCGCAGTGGCATGCACTGCTCCTGACATCTCTGGTGCACGTTTCACAATGCCACAGCTCTTGTTGCTGCCAGATGAACATTGCATCACTGTCTGTACCAATTTTATGAGGTTTTTTTTGACGGTACAGCCTAGCCACGGTAATATACTACGAACGTTAGCACTGCCATTTAAAATAAAACACCTCTGTAATTTAAGATGACAGTTTTAAAATAGTCCGGGAAGACTTTAATAACATTATTTTGATGGTAAATCCATCAACACTTGTAAATTACAGAGGCGCTCTTCAAAAGTTTCTTGCTGTCTTTAGAGGCACGCGTCGACACCAGGTAGGGGCAGAATTTCCGATTTCACGAGCAGCTGCCGTTTCAGACAGCCCCTCCCTGTGAGCCCACACATCCCTTGTGCCTGCAGGGGTGCTTGTCTAGAGCGCACACTTTCAAGATGCAGAGCCACACACAACTCTGGTGTCACGATGTGTGCATGATGGACACAATTATTGCAATAAAATGTGGCCAATCATAACCTCCCTGTATTTTGCCTTTGGGGTAATCTTTTAATTTGACATTCAGACTGAAAGAATGTCGAGGGAGCAGTGTAAAATACCTGTCTGGAATTAAGGGTATTATTGCAATAGTTTCTGAATGTATGCTTTCATAAAAAAAAAAAAACACAACTTTTTTTGTTGCTTATTAAGAATGCCACATTCCCATAAATCGAATAAATGGGCAATTTACAGGCAAATTAAATGTTTAACAAAATGGTATTCTGTTAACTCGAGTGGCAGCCTCACCTTTCCATGTTGGCCTGTCCTTTCATAGCACACGATGACATCTTCCCACATTTGCAGCTTCTCATACACCTGCAGTGCTGCGCTGTTACAGCCGAGTGAAAAGAGTAGGCTTGCCAACTCCCGCTGCTCAGCACACACATCAGTACGAGGTGAGCATAGTATTTAACAAACAGCATCAAATATAAATGACACTATAAAAAATAAGTACGGACAGCACACAGCATGTGACACATATCTGGAATATATTATGCGGCATAAGAGCAGACAACATGCAGCACAGGTTGTGAATCAACACACTAAGGGCTCTCTCACCTGAAGACGATTGCCTGTGTTGCGATCGAAACGTCGTGATCTATTATTTTTCTATCTACGTGACTTTATCGAAAGACCCAAAGAGTATGAGTACACTAAATAGCCTTAATTTAATTTTAACAATTTAGTAGTTAATTTGGCATTAACAGAATGTAGCAAATACTGACAATGTAGTGTGCACTTCAACAAAATGCAAACACATCACGTGTTCTCATCTCTTAATTCTCACTTTAATGGCCCATTTTGGTGGAACTTGGCAACAGAAAAAGACTTTCAATCTCTCTGTGACATTAGGTGTTGAATCTTCCAAGTGGTCAAGCAAGGCCTGGGGAAAAAAGCAGCACAATCAACAAGAGGGGACTGAGTTAAAAAGAACACTGTACCAATTGTCCCATTTTCTCAAACGCCAGAAGCTGAATAACAAATGCAACTCATCGCACGTTTTACTTTTCCACCAGTTTGGACAATATATCATGTCACGTGTTCCTTTTAGTCCTTAAAGGTAGTTTTTGTTTGTGCCGAGATATTGGTGAACAGTTGTAGATTATCTGTGACATCCACATGCAACCCAGATAAACGCACGGAAGTTGGCCAACGATGAGGGTTGGATGCCACAGCGGCACAACGCTTTTAATCAGCACCTTAAATCATCACGTACACTCAGCTGTTCTGGAAAAAAAAACTTCCACACAAACACACAACTGTGTTTTAAATGTGGCACAGACTGTAAATCAGCCAACCTCTGTGAACACAAAAGATGAATTAATCACATTTATGTGTCCACAGCTCAGGGTTATAAAGCCACTTTTGGACACGTGGAAATAAACTGTGGCACTCCTGTGGAGCGGCGCCCTGGCAGGGTGTCTGGTCGCTGCGTGCCTGGGAAGACTTGGTCACAGCCCAAGGTATGCTCACAGGCATCATTAAAACTCCACCACCATTACAAACCCATTCCTATGCACTTTATTACAGCAATGGCACGTGGCAAACCAGGGTCCCTTTCACCAGAATAGAATTCCTGATTTGTTTACTTTGAAACTTGTTTTCTTTCTAAATATTAATGCAACTGATAATTGGAAGTTTATGTATTTTATTTTGACCTTTTCTCGTAATGTAATTTACTTTTCTCCTTTAGTTACAAACATAAAACATTCTATGAAATTGGGAGCGAGCCGTTTATTGTGCTCTATTGAGACCATGAAAAAAATATATATATATTATGGTACATGTCGGCCACAGCCAAAAGTTTTATCGGAATGTGTAATCAGCTTTTTCATTCCAAGTCAAAATAATTTGGCAAACTCTTTTTCTCCACACTTGGGTTACACTTTGATATTTAGTTTCAAGAACTTACCAACTTGTGCACACATAACAGTATAAATATTATGCATAGTGAATTCAGTGCTTATATACCATTCCTACCTAGCTAAATCAAACACATGCAAAGCTACTCACGAACACCATGCAAACATGACAATATTTAAAATACAGTGTGACAATTTATCGAAGCCATGAAATAAAACCTAAGAGTCTTGTGAAAGCAACAGTGTTCACTATAAGGTTGTTAATTTAAATATATATTTATTTATTTTAGATATGACATTTATATAAACGAAATATTCCCACGGACCACCGAGCTGTGACAATGTTAGAAATATCAAGCGCAAATTCTGCCAGTTAAAAATTAGTGTCGTTAGCACTCCAGGTACCTTACATAAGATCAAGCTAGAGGGGTTCACAAGATCAACCAGGTTCTCCTAATTTGTCCAAAAAACTTCTAAGATAATATCACTTTGAATTAAAAAATACGAATTAAAATAATATTTTTTCACAATGTGTTCATATCTCACCACTGTAAGCGATACACATTAAAACCAGCCAAGTCATTCCATGTAATTATAGTAAATAATGAAAGGGTGTATTTGAAGGCAGACCCTGTATAAGGTTTAGCTAATGAGCAGATGTATTAGCATCACCAGGGCAACAGCACCCATTTGTAATGCAATGCGCACCCCATGCTATTTCACATAGAACATCAACTGCTAAGCTGTATAAAGAGAACAACACTACGGTTAATAAGTGCATGCTATTCGGCCATGTTTGCCCACATCATGATTGAAGTATCTAATTCATGGTTTAGAAGCACTGGCATCATCTCTGTACCCGCACCTCCAATTAGCACGGTTGGCTACATACGATGCGAAAGAAGTTCAACATACGTGCATACTCATCTGGGAAATTCACATAACAATAATCAGTATGACATTTTCTAAATAAAATATTGCTTCGGATAAAATTGTGTTCAGCATGTAATATGCATTAAATATTTATGTACAACTCATATGGCACAACTCTGAGCCAAATTTAGTTGTCAACATCCATGACCATCCCTTGCCTTCCATAGCATTTGCACACACTTACCATACTGTACTCGCTCATACAATCACAATTCAGACATATAAAATGTCTCAATGTGATCGCATCTCAATATACGGTTCAAGGCGAGGGGCATGTGTACAGAGATCATTTGAAGATTTTGGGATTTTTTTTGGTGGGGGAGGGCGGGAAGGAAGAAGTGGAGAATAGTGGACTCCTGGACAAGGAAAGAAAGTTGACAGTTCGGTAAAGGTGTTAATATAATAATGTATTGGGTGAGGCACAATCATATACAATTACACTTTCACACGTACACAGGTCTATATAAACACACCTGGGTCTGCATCATGGCTCTCTCCACTCTGCGTGTGCTCATTTTCTCAAGCTTTGTGCGAAGCATGAGCGCTGTCACCTGGATAGGCCAGAACTTGGGCTGCGACAACATTAACTGCAGACAGAGGAGAGCAAGGCAAAAAAATTAGTTAAAATACAATGCTCTGCAACACCCACCACTCAACACAGCAGGAGTGCTGGCAAGAATATGCATCGCTTCTGAAACACAAAACAGAAACACAAAACAATATCCATGAGTGTTGACGGAAAGTGTGGTGCCACACTCGAAGCGAGGCTTGATTATCAAATCAGCCTGAAGCTACTTAAACACTAATTACAAAACACTGCTGTAAACCGATACTACAAGCAAGATGGGCTGTTGTGAGAGGAGACAAAATGCCAGTTTGAAGTTGAACATTTGAGCCCAACAAGGTCAGTTCTCAGCTTTACTCAGAAGCTCTCTGCTACATGGGATCCAACCTTGGGGTCAGCGAAGCTAACAAGGCCCTATATAAGTACTCTTTGTGGCTTTGTACACATTTTAGCTGGCTCCGTCACCCTCATTTAACAGCCAAGCATTCTCCAGCAAGTGGGTTTGAGCGCCCAGGGATGTTTTGGAAATGTGCCCAAGCATACAATGCGTTTTGAAGTCAAGACTTTCAAGACCTAATCTGACCTATGTCTTTTTTGTATGGGTCTTTGTCAGGAATTATAAAGGTCAGCTATAAACATGCATGAGCTAATGATTTTCTATAAAGCTTTCTTTAGACCGTTCAATGCAATGAAAGTTCTTTTTTTATTTTTCCAAACTGCAAACGTTGACAGTTGGACTTGGTTTTCACACCAGTGCCATTTGCCAGATTTCTGCTTTTACAAATTTGTGAGGGCATTTGTGAATATAAAACAGGAGCCATGGCAAGCCTCCAGTGATGCATTATGGCAAGTCCTCAAAACTGTACAAGCATACATATTGTAGTCACGTTTAATTATCGTTTATGATAGTTTTGGCTTCTGCTGATATAAAACACTTGATTACAGTGCAAACACATTTCACTAAATATTTTTTTGAACCGCAAATGATACAAATTACAAAAAAAACATTGTTCAAACAGAATAAACTTGCTCAACTCTACCATGCTTTTAAGTGAAGCTATTAAGTTTTATCCTGTGCAGATATTGCGGCCATTAGTCATGCATGTGACAACCATCTAACCAGCCTGCAGAATCAGGACCCCACGTGTAGGCTGGAAAGATGCCTGCACACGGGCACAACAGCCAAGTCCCAGGATTCGGCACAGGCAACCCTGCCTGAATTTCAGCCACCACTGGTATACGGAGAGAAGCAGCCGTACGCACTACAGTGCTACTGCACCCAAAACAAGATCAACATTCCAGGCAAGCATACGGAGGCACGTCCTTGCCCTTTATAGGCGGTGGGCATGTAACGATATACAAGTTTTGCAATTTATTCAACAGATGCATTGCGTATTTAGTCTATAATCGCGTGTGGAACTCTGCTCTCCCTAAAACAGCACGTTTTGCAAGCTACCACAACTGATGGGTACACCACATCCAAATGCAAAGCAACAAAATAACCATTATAGGAGTAACATCGTGGGTTTCCAAAACCAAAAGGAAGCTGGCTCCTGAGTGCAGAAGATAACACATGCTCTGGATTATGCCATTATGACCAAAATAAGCAGGACAACAGGAAGTCAACACTAAATAGAAGCAAATAAACACTGCCGCATGTTCCAATAGCATCATTTGAATTTCTGTGCATAGAATGTGATGTTACTTCGACGGTTACAAAGTACACTTTAGTTTCAGTTTTTGAAACTGAACATACATCTAGCGAGGGGCTTTACTCGCAAAAGTCAAAAGGTATACAATGAGCCATCTACTGTGCTATTCGGTTATTTATTGTTGTAGTTAATGAATCTTAGAGTTTGTTTCATAAACTATACCAAAACTGAACGCAATGCTACACAGGATGATTGCAAAAGTTAAGATACGGGTGAATTATACCGACTATAATCACCCAGGAATGTCTGTCCTGAACGCTCGTGACGTCACTCCACATTGACCAGCCCCCCTAATTAATATTCATGAGCAGGTGACGTCCTCCAAATGGAGACGCCCCCACCCATCCTCATTAATAATCATGAGTAGGTGACGCCACTCAATATGGAGTACTCCCCCACCCCTCACGAATAATCATGTGCAAGTGACGTCACTCCACATCGAGCAGCCCCACACATTAATATTCATGAGCAGGTGACGTCCTCCTAATGAAATAGGTCTGTGTCCCTGTGCCCTGACAAATTGCACACGAATTGATGCAATGAATATCACGTCGCGGTCTGCTTTTCACTTGCAAGTTTCAGATTTACTGCAATACACCCGTCCTTGGACGGAAAAAGGCTAGTATTATGTCTGCTGCCACCTTGAGGGAATGTAACTCGCAGCATTTTACATAATCTGTAATTATAATAATGGCTTCAAATAAATTGACCTCTGAACAAGTTCAAATAAAAAAAAATGGCAACTTTTAAAATCAGAAATGACCTTTTTTATATATGCTGCGGAAGTGGAATTATTTTAAGATGGTATGTTGGTTTCCACTGTTCTAAAATAAGCAGTGACAAGTGGGAGTGCTGCCAAAATGACAGTAACAATTTGCTTTTGTTCCTGGGTAGTGTAATTTCCTAATTGCTTATGCCTAAAAAGTATAGAAAATGGCTATTGTTCCCCACAATCTTTTCTTTTGTGACCAGGGACAGTGATATTTTGAAATTTACCTATTTTCCAGAACATTCCAGATAGATTCAGTGCTAAGTAAACTTGGCGTAAACGCCAGAACATTCTAGAACTTTCCAGTACTATAAATAGTAGTATAAATACAGGGACCTTAAGCCCACCAGTTCAGTTTAGTTCCAGCTGCCTAAGTGGATACATATCTGCATTTTTCTGAGATGGCATCAAGAGGCTGCAAGCATCCGGCAGATGCATTTTGCTATGTCTGCGGCCAATTTATCAAAACAAGAAGCATCTGCTAAGATGTGTCAGGCCTACAAGACATATTTCAGCATGCCTGTCGGGGATCAAGACAAACCCTGGGCACCTCATTTCACCTGCGAATGCAAAAAAAACTCTGGAAGGTAAAATGGACAATTGTTGCTCTGAATTTGATGTTATAAAATTTGTTTAAACATTTTAATTGTAAAAGTTTTTAATTTAAAAATGTTTTACAATTTTCAATGTTATTGAAAAAATATATCATATATGAAAAATGTTGCGAGAATCTCTTACACATTAGTCATGGGTGAAATAAATTTATTTTTGTAGGATGGTACAGAGGGGAAAAGAGTTCGCTATCCCAAGAATTTGACGGGAACCCACTGACCACTCAAGCAACTGCTACTTCTGCATGGTGGACCCTTACAAACGTCGTACTGGCAAGAATGCACCTATCACGTATCCGGACCTTCCTTCATCTATCGCCCCGGTGCCACACTGCCATGAACTCCTCGTACCCACTCATCCGGAGAGCAGTCATCTTTAGAAGAGAGCAGCAAGTGAGAGAGCGAGGAAGGCGTTGTAGATCCAGATGACAATTTCAGGTGGAGCCGAGGAAAGAAACCCATACTACTCCAACCAAAAAGACCTCAACGACTTGATCAAAGATCTTGGTCTCACCAATTCCAATGCTGAGCTTTTGACGTCTAGGATCAAGCAGTGGAACTTGTTGGATGAAAGTGTGCAAGTCGTAGATCAGAGAAAGCGTCACCAACCTTTTTGCAGCTTCTTCACCCATCAAGATGGGCTCTGCTTCTGCCACAATGTGACCAATCTGTTCGAGGCAATCGGAATCGCCTGTAACCAGAATAAGTGGCGCCTCTTCATTCACAGCTCATCCAGGAGCCTCAAAGCTGTGCTGCTCCATAATAGTAAAAAGTACCCGTCTCTTCCCCTGGCTCACTCGGTGCACCTCAAAGAGGATTACAACAGCATCAAGACCTTGCTGGAAGCCTTGATGTATTTTGAGTACGGCTGGGAGGTCATCAGAGACTTCAAAATGGTGGCATTCCTGATGGGTCTCCAAGGCGGTTTTACTAAGTTTCTCTGCTATATTTGCCTTTGGGACAGCAGGGACACCAAGGCGCACTACCACAGGTGGGACTGGCCACAACGGACCGAGTTCCCTGTGGGGAGGAACAATGTCAAGTGGGAGCCACTGGTGGATCCCTGGAAAGTGCCGATGCTACCACTGCACATTAAATTGGGCCTTATGAAATAATTTGTCAGAGCTGTAGATAAGGAGTCGGCAGCCTTCAAGTATCTTCAAGACTTCTTCCTTAAGCTGTCTGAGGCAAAGATCAAAGCCGGTGTCTTCGTCGGACCACAGATAAAGAAGATCCTGGAGTGCAATGAATTCCCCAAGAAGCTCACGAGTAAGGAGAAAGCAGTTTGGGACAGCTTTGTCGCAGTGGTTCATGGCTTCCTGGGCAATCACAAGGTCGAAAACTATGTGGAGCTGGTTGAGACTGGTGAAAAACTACGGCATAATGGGCTGTAGGATGTCCCATATCCTTGATGCTCATCTTGATAAATTCAAGGCGAACATGGGAGCGTACTCTGAGGAGCAAGGCGAGTGCTTCCACCAGGATATACTAGACTTTGAACGCCGCAACCAAGGACAGTATAACGAGAACATGATGGGAGACTACATTTGGGGGCTGATTCGTGAAAGTGATTTACAGTATAATCGTCCATCTAAAAAAACTACTCACTTCTAAATCTTTTGTAGTCATTTTTGTATTACTTTAGTATAAATACATATACATTTTTATTCATGTTTTTTTTTACTGGATGTGAATGAAAATACACAAATTTGCCCGTTTTTTCATTGAAAATAGGTACATTTCTAAATATTACCATCCTGGTCACAAAAGCAAAGTTTGTGGGGAATAATAGCCATTTTCGATACTTTTTAGGCATAAGCAATTACGAAATAACACTTACTACCCAGGAACAAAAATTGTGTTACTTAGTGTTATCAAGTTCTCTATGAACGACACAAGGTTCTACATATTAAACCGCGTGTTCAAGAATTTCCACGGATGAAAAATTGCAAGGCTTATGCTGTCATCTGTAATGTGAAATGATGGCATGTCTACGTGGAAAAGACTAGAAAATGTTTTTGCAATTGACGTTATCATATGCTTCAAAATGATCTCCTGACAATCTTGTGGCTTTCAACAATCTTTTCATATACCATACGTTTTTTTTCCAGTAGGAAGCAAGCAGAAGAAGTCCAAAAAATCCCTTAAAGGAAAGTTTACTTTTATTCACACAATGGTGCTTCGGTAACAAATCAGATGAAATTCCAGGTATACTTGGCCAGGAAGCAAGCGGACCATTGTATAGCCGAGCTTGGCAGCCAAGTACAGAATGTACTTTTCCAGGTTGAAATTGCCTGTGTCTGAATAAATGCCAAACGTTCTTGGACAAGCGTTGATTTATCTTTGGTTTTGCGTTTAAGGATTTCTGCACTGTGGCTCTGCCACTGTCTGGATGGCTCTGCCACCCAGACAGTGTGAGATCATGATTCATGATTCGTTGAGTAAATCGCAGATTTGAATTTTTCAAAAAGACACTTTAGGTAATAATAAAAAAATGAACTATTAAAAACAATTACAACTTAGTTTATAAACAAAGCATTCTACTTTCATAAACTTTATTACAAGATATAAATTCATTGCAATAAAATATAACCAAGGGCCTAGGGTTCTAAATAAAATCTGAGAAACTTTAGTGTTGCGCCACAGACAAATGCACTGCTGACAGGCACATAGCAGTCAAGATAAACAACCTGTCCCATACCTTTTTATTTTTAATACAGCACACAACCATTCTGCTAATAAGTTACCAAAGCAAACACTAATGGGCTAGTGAAAACACTTTGGCTGCTTTACCCACAGAAGGCAACCACAATCCTTTTTCTTGTGCACTGAAACGATATCAACCATTGACATGAACAAATTATGGAGTGTTCAGAAATAATTAACAGTGTGGAGGGGGTCCAGAGATTCAGACAGTGAGTCACTATTAACGATGCCTCAAGTCTCACCTTATGCCTTGAGTATTTAACAGTGGAAACATAAATGATTTTCCAGTCTAGACATATTGACTTCCTGCATTCTTTTTTTATATTTCCACTCTTAAGAAAATCATGTTGTAAAATGAGAAAAATAAATACTATTTAAATAAATACCAACGTGTTTCGTTTGTTTTGAAAAACAAACTCGCAGTACTCTCTTTATAGTGAAAACAAACAAGCACACGCAACCACATTACGCATGGAAACAGATGTACTCACGGACACATACATAGACACATATGCGCGCGCACACACACACACACGGAGGCATACGAGATAGACAAACCAGGCAGGACAGCCAGCGCTCCTTGGCTGCTGTCCCCAGGCTCAGGAATTCAGACAGCAACGTGAACAAAAGAACATCTCAGGTCCAAGAAAGCAAGACGAGACAGGAAAAGAAGACAGATTAAAGCATAGCTCAAACTTAAGGTAAAAAAAATATCATAACACTTCCTTTTTAAGCATGAGACTAGTTTTTTTTTAACCAAGCCTTCTGGATTCCTTCCAGGACATTCTAATGAAAGTATTTACATTGCAGGATGGACTCCATTAACAGAATACCAGCTGCCTGTTTGGGGTTTTTTTAAAGGTTTTATTTTAATCAACTCGGTGTTATACAGTAATTATGACCGACTTAAAATGCGTAAACTTCTGGTACCGATTTAACAGGCTGAGAAAAGGTCAGATGCGTGACGAGACATGTCATTCAGGATACCTGTGCAAGACCTCCAAGAACGCCGTTTAAAAACTCTAAAGATTACGTCGTGAGGTAACTGTGGAAAGACTTCAGCAGGAGATTTTCTTTAAAAAAAAGGAAATATTTAGAAGAATATTATGCATAATCAGTGCTTAGAAGGAAAAAAATGCTAATGTTATTCGAGGAAGACTTACCGCAGCAAATGCAGAAATTTCCTCTGTTGTTAGCCGATGTACAGGACTGTTCTTCTGTAAATCCGTGCTGCCAAGAATGTGAGATAATACATCTATGAGTCATCATAAAAAAACTCGAACTCAAAACCGAGTAGGTAGTTAAAGTCTTTTAGTAGTCGCTACGGCTACAGACTCAAATGCAATGTGCCTTACATTTACAGTGGCAAAAATGGTCTTTATTAATCGTAGCAATGGTGTTGGTTTGACTGCACAAGGAAGTCTAATTTTGAAATAACCAAGGTTTAATGGTTCAGATAAAAAGGGCTTTCAATACTGTCTTAGATTCACTTAAGAATCTTCCAACAGAAGCATAATTGAATTCTTATAACTAAATAGCATAAGTCTGGTTCGGACTTCAAGGCACACACAAATTCGCAGGGGAAATGGAAAAGCAAAAAAAACCAAGGTAAATTTTGGAAATTCTTTACATCTTTTCTCATGACTCCATCATTGTTCGACTGTCAAGAAAAGTTAATGCTGAAAAGCTGAACTCTGGCAAGTTCGATTTATGCTGGTAAATGTACACACATGGCAGTGGCCTCACAAACGCCAAGGATCAGCAATTCCCTTACGTGTAGTTACTGTCACACTTGCCGCTGGTACATGACACATGATGCTTCCTGCTCAAGTTGCTGAAAGTCATTAAAGGAATATTTCAGCACTAGCAATACCTTAGCTCACGCAAAGTATCAGGTGTAAATTATAGTTGTATTATGCTGCAGTAAAAAGCGTGGATTAAATCGAGCAATGCATCCATTCTACTGAAATACAAATTAACAGCCAGTTTCAGCAATAGTCTTCTAATTTACCATATCGTCTTTGTTGGACTCTATGTGCATCATTGCAAAGCATTTGCTTTTCAACATCGTGAAAGGCCAGCTGGCACATAGTATATATACAACAAAAGGACCTTGTCAAATTGTGACTCTACTGTCAAGTTAACGAGAGATGTGGAGTTATGCTCAGGAAGTTGGGCCCAAAGCCATGTGCCCAACACCCTCTCTACCCACGAGACGAGCTCACCTACACATGTGAGGCAGCAAAGGCATGAGAGAGGGAGCATAGGTGTCAGCTGTCAAACCCATTAGAGAGAGCTCACCGAACAGGCAGAGCCATACGCCACGGCCCTCTCTTGCTATTTTAACAAGTGCCCTTTACAGTACTGGAAGCTGGCCATCGTCAGGGTAAGCATAATCATGATACTTTTCAAAACCCAGTCCATTATAAAGTGACCTCTCCCAAGCCTTGGTGCCACAACAAAGTTGTACCGGGAATTGCTACCATTACCTTCGGTGGCCATTAATGTGTCAGTTGCAGTTAATCGCCAGTTATTTATAATGTTTAAAACTTTAACATGTATATTTGGAAGTGTTATTTTGAGGCTGACTGTTTCTCGTTTAACCTATGAGTGTAAAATGTGCACAGTTTGCTGAGTGGATTGAAACACACATATTTTACGCTTACATATACTTTAAATGAAAGTTAATCAAATGTTGTGACCCCCCTGTTTTGACCGCCACAAGTTTAATTAAGCACTAGGCTCAACGTGTAGCATGTGGAGAACAGCCCTGAGCATGCTCTAAGCAGGACTAGCTGTGCTCCCAATAAGCAATGACCTAAAATGCTACAATTGTCAACAGGTATGAGATTGCTACTTGTCTGGACTGGCATAAAGGTTTAGAGAGATCCAGAAGCAGAACAAGACACTACAATATGCAATAAAGAACTACACAATTCTACTGAATTATGCAATACCTCTCTTCATGGTAAATGTCACCTTGTGTGTGGTTCTGTCAATCCTACTTCTAACAGGAGCCCACAGGGTTGAGAGGCCCTTACCTTGCTTTTATCCAAAGTCTAGCACAAAAAACAGTGCCTATACTTTGCATACCATTGTTTACTATCAACAGCACAATCATGTTATGTTAAATCGGTATATTCTGCGTGTTTATATCAAGCTAAAGAAGCAAAAAACATGGCACATATGGGGTTTCATCAGAGGTAGTTTAAATACATGCAAATGAAATCGTAACTGGCTCATTTACAATGCGGTGCAACCATACAGCATGTAATGAAAACAAATTAAGAAGCAATCATGCCTATTCATGCAAAATCTTGCTTCAATTTTTAAATAACATTTTGATTTTATTGCCTCTTCTAGATTGGTATTAAAATTGTCTCTTTATGATTCAGCACGCACACATACTAGTTGCTTTTATCCAAGGCAGAATTTTACGTGCCGAATGGATACAAAAAGTTATTTTCAGCATTGACTTTTCTTCCCGCTCATTTCTCCCGCTAAACCTTCCTCCTGGGAAACTGCAGTAAAGACCAATTGTGCAGAAACTTCTGTGCTCCACTAGAGAACCTCCAAATCACAAAAAAAAACATTTTGGACAAAACATCAGCTCTAAAGAAAACAAATCCTTAAGATGTTGTGCCATTTAAAATGTTGATATGTACTTTGTGATTTGAAAACACTGTTAAAGCCAACATTGAAAAGTAAGAAGTGTCAATGCCGCTAAAAAGGCATTCCATGAGAGCCTCACCATACACCCAGAACCACAGCCAACTCCTCAGCGCACAGCTCAGGCATGTGCACCTCCTCCGGATGGGCGAGCTTCACCTTGTTCAGTAGAAGGTCGTCACCCAGCTGAACATCCTGTACACACACAACACAGCGCGAGCTGTACCGTCAGAGCATGCTGTCATCACCATAACCATCATCATCATCATCGTTATTATGAGCAATCCACAACATAGGTCCAGGTTGCAACCACTCACCAGAACATCTCATGCATAACGAAGTTCAAGTTTGGGAGTAAATGTACTTTATATCTGGCTGAAACAAACTTTTTTTTTATAAACTAACACTACAACATTTATATTAAAGCATGCTTTGAATAGTTAAAACGTATCTGTTATTTTATTTCATTTGCACACATCGATGGACAAAACACACACGTTGAAATGTTAAAGCAAAGTATGAGAAGGTACATGAAGTAGTCTGTGCATAATAACTTACCGTTAAAATGCTACCCATCTTGGAGAAGTGCATCAAAATGTGACTTATAATAAAATGCACATGACAGAGCATGTAGAGAACCTTGGGCATGTGCTGTGGTGGAGTCGGGCTGGGGCTCAGCACACTCGGTGGAAGAGGGTTGTCCTCCCTCTTCACCTCCACCATGAGCTGGGCCACATCTGTCTGCTGAAATTGGGTGCGTTTTCCGAGGGCACCTGCACCAGGGAGGCAGACGAAATCCAAGTACTTCAACGCACCTCATGTCAAGGAACATGATAACTTTTTTTTATATTCAGGGACTCCTCTACTTACGAACATTCGACTTACAAACTTTCAGAGATACGAACAAACCTGTCCGTATGTCCAGTTGGAGCTGTTCACGTTGATATATTGCCTGCTACAAGTTGATTTATGAAGAGACGAAGAGAGCAACTCTGCAGATATCTCTTGATACGTTTTTCATGAGTACAGAGGAAATATTATATTATTTGTGTCTTTCGGTAAAGTCACGTAGATAGAAAAAAATAACGTCGTGATACTTTTATTATTTTTTATTCACTTTATTTTCATTTTCATTTTATTGTTATTATTTTTTCTATCTATGTGACTTTACCGAAAGACCCAAAGAATATGAATTCCTGCAGTTACGAAAGCTTTAAGTCAAGATTTAGTAGAGAGGAAACACGAGCACCAAAGGAAATTAGCATCTACATCTGCAGAACATAAAGAACCAGTGGCATCTACATCTACAGGAGATGATACAACTGTTAAAGCCATTCACCGTGTTGAGTGTACATGCCACAGAGCATTTTTGAAATCGACAGGAGTAAAGTTGGACTTACGAACAAATCGACTTACAAACAGACCTCTGGAACATAACTCATTCGTAAATAGAGGAGTCCCTATAATTGCATTCATATGCAAAAACTAAGTTCTAGTGGATCGTTGTAATACACAACTTCTTTTCAACACTGTTGCAATTGTACTATTCATCATAAATATTATGTATCTTTTCATATGAGAAATAGGTTATCATATGACCCTCATATTTTTGAGTTAGGTGTTGACAAAAGCAACAGCTGTAAAACAGTTTGTAGCCATAGCAGGTAATACAACTTTACCGATCAAGTTGATAGCCAAGCCAGCCATTTTCTGTGCTGCTGAGAAGCCCTTCTTGGCACGCTTGTAGTCGTAATAAAAGAGGAAGGTGTATGCAGCCTCCAGGTGGAACTGTATTGCCAGATGCCGACATTCCTCTGAGGTCTGCAACTCCTCTTCCTTACCCACTATACAAAAAACAAGGAAGATCAATACACCCCATCCTCAATACAACAATTCTGCATTTAAGAGAACCTGGTCTCTAAATTATACAAAAAAATATTTGTATATTTCCTTTATACAAGGAGAGAACCCACTGAGATTTAAAATCAGTTTTTTTAAAGGGTAACTTGGGTCATAAGTAGCAATCGAAACAATACAAGCCTAGCATCCAATGATAAATAATAACGCTGAGAGCATAACAGGCAGTAAGCAGTTGTACAAAACCTGAAATAGTTTGGGAAAATAAATTGGAAAAAAGTTCATTCAGGCTCAATGTGTGCATTTATAAATAGGATACTTGGGTTCCTTCATATCTCTTAAAAAGTCCCTCAACATATTTATGATTCTCCAATAGTATTATTGTAGTTTAAACTTACCAAAGTTTAACTGGATTCCATATAAATAGAGCTAAATGGCAACTTCTAATAAAAGTTGACACGCTACCACTGCATCACAAACCTAATTTTAAAAGAGACAAAGCAAAAATATAACTTGGGAATGAATGGTCCCCAGAGGAGGTCATGACAAAAGATAGCTCGTGCTTGTACGGACTTGCCTTGCTCAATGCAGCTCTGAGCAGCCGCGTAGAGAACGGGAGAACGGTCACCAAGCAAATTCTGGTGCACATTAAGGCAGCGGAGTGTCCACCAGGGCGCCATCTGGAAAATTAACGATTGGCATTGTCCACATACTTCACATTCATGCGATTTTATCAAATAGTAGTGTGTAAACAATAAAAAATCATGTGTATGGGTACAAAGCAAAGTATTCATTAACCTTAAAGTGCCCCAGTCTGGCCTGACATGTCACCAGGATGGTTCTTGCCAGGAGGAGTAGGAAAGGATTGGCCACCAGGTCATACACAGGTTCCCCATTCACCTGCAGTGCTGACAGTGTGGCTTCTGTGAATTTCTGAAACGGTCATTCGATCCATGGATTAGAGGTCATATGTTAAACAAGATAAATATCATGCATTGCACTGCACATGATTAGATTGAAGTGTACATGTGTTCATACCTGAATTCCACATTTGTCCACAGCAGCAGAAAATATATCCGCTGGGATGATATCAACCAGAGGTCCTACCCAGTTCGACTGCACAAAGAGCTGCAGACATGCCACTGCACTGAAGAAAACTACACTCTGCCTGAAATAAGAATACATCAGTAAATTATTAAAACCAAATCTTTAATAATTTTTTAATTAATGAACCCAATGGGCATAATTAACATTTACGTGTAAAGAATATATATTTATGAGATATTTATGAGATATGAGAACAAAATGTTACACCAATGTGCACTTAGTTTGAAAAGTGGGGAAAAAATAACTGTGACATTTGTAAATGAAACTTACTTGTGAATGTCATCATCCTGACCATTTTCAAAGTAGCTGCCTATGAGTTGTTCAAAGTAAACATCCAATGTGGCATCATCTGCATATGGAGCCTGCCCATCTGCGAGGACCCGCTGCACCAAAGGGTCATGCAGCACAGCCTCAAAGTTGCCCTCCAAGAGATATTCAGCAAGGTGCTCCAGCTCTGCAGGAACACAGAGGCATTGTTCAACAATAAAATGGAGTTCAACGTAAACGATACATTTGCCTCGTAAAATGTTTCGTGACACCTTAATTTTATTTTTTTAAATAAGCATTTTAAAAGTCCAGTAATGTGTAAACATTGTGACGTGTTCACATTAAATGGCAATATCCATTGCCATTTAAAACTAAAAATGTACATACTACAACTGAAAAAAACAGTCGGGAGTAAATTAACAGGCTGCAGGAAGTCTTACATTAATGTAACACTGAAACATGGATACATTCTAATTACAAAACAGAGAAATGCAAAATCTTTTTCCAAACATTTAATTATTCCTGACATGGAACAATGCATCTCTTTTGTTTCCTAAAATTATATTAAGTACACACAGTTGCTCCACGAATTTCTAGGCAGCGCTGTATAAAGGATGATGAGTTCCAATAACATTACATACATTAATTGTGACAAATTGAGCAATATAATTTTCAGAATTTCTATTACACCCAGAGTATTGAGTAAACACTCCACGATAGTAAACATATATCTAGTTTAATACGACTATCAATGAGATAATATAAAATGGGAAACAATGTGTAATATAATAAATGCAATATTGACATGGTCTCTTAGTATGAAAACATCCAAATGCAATCAAAGTCTATAAATGCCCTTCAATTCAGATCATTTATATATTTTTTACATCCGTGTAAATGAAATACTGTAATACAATTATTTATTTTGCCATCTGCAATGCTGTAAATAGAATGCACGTAGAAGCATGTGAAATATAAAATTCCTTGTACTCGATTCGACTTCAAGATTTAGCAATAAAAACTGCTTTAAGTTAATAAAACACTAAAAACATTAGGTTCAAGTTGTCTATTAACACATTCCTGCGGAGGGAGCTGGTAGGAACGTTGGGTTGCTCGATCAATGGCCAGGGTCAACGGCGGCGTGGTGTATTCCGCAAATATGGCCGCCTGTCAGGGCGGGCACAAGCCGGCGTGAGTAGGTTAGACGTTGAGTTTTATAAGGGCACCACGGGGTGACCAGCCCCTCCCCACCCAGCCCCACCCCTCCCACCCCCCACCCAGCCCCACCCCTCCCCACCCTCCCCATCCAGCCCCTCCCAGCCCCTCCCCACCCAGCCCCTCCCCTCCCAGCCCCTCCCCACCCAGCCCCTCCCCACCCAGCCCCTCCCCACCCAGCCCCTCCCCACCCAGCCCCTCCCTGCACGACGGACGGACACAATAATACCCTGTGGGCTGGTGGAACCAGTGGGTTCCTACCAGTATCATGAAAGATGTTTCAAAAACTGGTGAGCGCATGACAGCAGCCTGGGTCAGACTGCCACCTAGTGGCGAGCTCAGGTTTAGCATGACATGATACAACGATGGTGTGGAAAGCAATCAGCAACAGAGGGGGCAATGGGTTTTGACAAGGGTCATTAACTCGGTATTGCGTCTCCACAATCGTGTATCTACTGCAGATAATGCACGGGTACGCGATGTCATATCTGTGAATTCATCATGAAAATGAAATTGCTTAACCAAAGCTTGATTTATTTTGGAAAGAAAAATGTGAATACATTTTCATCTTCTCCTGTAATTATTATATTATAGAACTGCTAACTTCTTTGGAGGGTGGCAGTGTTAGTTTATATTTTCCACAGTAATGCACTACGTTCGTAACACTGTACACCATAGCATCACCATTTAAACGCAGAGTGTTTGGTCAACCCAAACTTGGATATAGATATATTTGTAGATACGTTAAATATGGAATACACTTTAATATGAAGCATTTTCTCCAAACGCAATGTGAAGACGTCAGCTCGGGTGCTGGTTGAATCGGAGAAAATATTAATCATAACCAACTCTGGGCTGGAAATGTGGTTTAGTCGTCAATAGAAAACAGACAAATGTTAAGCTCATAGATGTAATAAGAATTAAAGAAGTGGCATAATGTGGCTTCTTGTACACTGAGAAAACCAATGACCCGATCCTCGTTAAATAAGCGATCGAACAGAATCATCTAAGGGATCAGGACCAAACGACAGCTTCCACAATAACTCAAGTATGGGTCGAACGTAGGTGTAGAAACGGAGCATGTTATTCTCCTCGTGAAAAGCTGCCTTCAGTATCATCATTCACACATGTCAGGGATTGAGAGGCTGTTTAAATATAGAGTCTGATGGAAAGAATGGAATCACACAGGGTTGAAGAGAGGATGGGGGAAAAGGGCACGAAGAGAGATGGAGAGCAAGGTCGGGAAATCATGGGGTGGAGAGGTATGGAAAGAGACGTGGAGAAAAAAAAAGGAACGGAGAGATGGACGGATAGAAGGGGTGAAGAGGCATTGAGAGATATTGAGATGGATGAAGGCAGGGAGGGAAGGAGGGATGGGAAGAGGAGCATGCAAGGCACAGCGAGATGAAGACAGGGACAGAGACGAGGCCGGTGTTCTCCGGGCCTCTCGCCAGGGGTCCTCGCTTCGCCGCTCCGCGCACAGCGCGCGGCACCAACGCGACTCTGCTCATTAACGACACGAAACGTTACTTAACACTAAACCCCACGCACGATCTACTCACGGCAAATACACACATGCCACGTTAGAAACTGAACGCGGAGCGTATTGCCAGCTCTGCTGTCCACGCACAACACATCAGAACGCTGCCAATGACCCGTTCATTCATCCCGAAGGCTCGGATTCCCAGGGTATCGGAAGACCCCCCCCCCGATCCCCGTAACCTCTTTGCGTGGAGAGGGAACGTCCAAGCACCCCCCCCCCCAAACAGGTACAGACTTCAAGGCGCCACGGGGGGCTTAAACACCCCGGGGGTTCCTGGACCTCAACACATGGGACTCCCGAAGCCTGACACCTTGACACCCGTCACGGCCGACACGTGGCCACTGCCGTCTGCTCCTTGCCGATGCTGACCCAGACCCCGAGTTTATCCCTGACCTTGACCCCGACCTCGGCAGTGACCCCGGCAGTGCTCGGCTCGCGTGGAGCCGCTGCTGATCGAGGAGAGTGGAGGAAGCCGATCGGTGTAAGCGGCGTCGAGTTTTGCAGCGTGGAAGAACATGGACCCACGGATGCCGATGGTGATTTATGGTGATAGTGACGACGACGAGGGTGATGGTAATGATGGTGTGGATGTTCGTGATAGCGATGATGCCGATGGAGGTGTGAGACGCTTGATGATGAGATGATCTCTTGATGATGTGTGAGTGATGTCGAGATAGGAGCGCACGTCACCTGCCAGGTGACGATGGCAAGGACGCCGAGTGGTGGTGGTTAGTGGTGGTGGTTGTTGTTGGTGGTGGTTGTTGTTGGTGGTGATCAAGTTGAATATAAAGATGCAGTCGACGTGCCTCGCACCGTACCGGGTTGCGCGATGAAACAGACGACGACGATACTTGAAACGATGTTGAATTCTCTGAATAATTCTGCTCGTCGCCTGTCGCGTTACGCGGCCAAGTTTGTAACGAGTGAGGCGACGCGCGTCATAAGTTGATGATGATGGTGATGATGATGTTGGTCACCATGTGTGTGTGGGGGGGGGTAGATGCTGATGATAATGCCGCTGCTACCGATGACGCTGACGAACATCGCACCACAAACCACGCTACGAGACCAAGTTTGTAATGAAGCCGGTGGTGACGATGCTCACGAAGTTGATTCTTACGACGCTGACGATGTGCGCCGATGATGACATTGCCGCCGCTGCTGCTGCTGCCAACGATGACTGATGATGTTAATAGGGCTGATATCGACGACGACAACGACGACTGTGTGTGTGTGTGATCAACTCCCCACCTGCCGAGACCTCTGCTCCCGCCGGGAGCCGCCAAGGGCCGCCGCTTGACCGCATCGCCGCCGCTGCCGCCGCCGTCTTCACGGCCACCCCAAGCGACCAACAACACCCCGAGCTGCTGTAGCGCGGCGCCGACAGGAGCTTGAGAAGGAGGAGACAAGGAGGAGTACGACGACGACGATGATGATGATGATGATGTCGAGACGTGAGAGAGGAGAGACGCGAGGCACAAGTGCTCGCCCTAGCGCACGGCTCGCGACAGGCGCCGCGAAGCCATAATGCGGCATGTGCGCGCGCGCGGCATTGTGGGGCCGGGTTAACCCCTTCCGCTCCCCCACCCCCTCACCCCCCTCTCCAGCAGTGCCCAACGTGGGAACGGCCACCAGGCGCCAAGCAGCGTGCACAGGCTGGTCCACATGTCTTGTGACCCCCCCCCCACTACTACCCCAGCACTTTACCAGCAGTGCCCAGTGTCAGATCGGTCACCAAGCAGCGTGCACAGGCTGGTCCACATGTCTTGTGACCCCCCCACTACCCCAGCCCTTTACCAGCAGTGCCCAGTGTCAGATCGGTCACCAAGCAGCGTGCACAGGCTGGTCCACATGTCTTGTGACCCCTCCCCCCACTACCCCAGCCCTTTACCAGCAGTGCCCAGTGTCAGATCGGTCACCAAGCAGCGTGCACAGGCTGGTCACCATGTCTTGTGACCCCTCCCCCCACTACTACCCCAGCCCTTTACCAGCAGTGCCCAGTGTCAGAACGGTCACCAAGCAGCGTGCACAGGCTGGTCCACATGTCTTGTGCCCCCCCCCCCCCCACTACTACCCCAGCCCTTTACCAGCAGTGCCCAGTGTCAGATTGGTCACCAAGCAGCGTGCACAGGCTGGTCCACATGTCTTGTGACCCCCCCCCCCCCCTCCACTACTACCCCAGCCCTTTACCAGCAGTGCCCAGTGTCAGATCGGTCACCAAGCAGCGTGCACAGGCTGGTCCACATGTCTTGTGACCCCCTCCCCACTACCCCAGCCCTTTAGCAGCAGTGCCCAGTGTCAGATCAGTCACCAAGCAGCGTGCACAGGCTGGTCCACATGTCTTGTGACCCCCCCCCCCCCCCACTACTACCCCAGCCCTTTACCAGCAGTGCCCAGTGTCAGATCAGTCACCAAGCAGCGTGCACAGGCTGGTCCACATGTCTTGTGACCCCCCCCCCCCACTACTACCCCAGCCCTTTACCAGCAGTGCCCAGTGTCAGAACGGTCACCAAGCAGCGTGCACAGGCTGGTCCACATGTCTTGTGACCCCCCCCCCCCCCCCACTACTACCCCAGCCCTTTACCAGCAGTGCCCAGTGTCAGATCGGTCACCAAGCAGCGTGCACAGGCTGGTCCACATGTCTTGTGACCCCCCCCCCACTACTACCCCAGCCCTTTACCAGCAGTGCCCAGTGTCAGATCGGTCACCAAGCAGCGTGCACAGGCTGGTCCACATGTCTTGTGACCCCCCCCCCCCCCCCCCCACTACTACCCCAGCCCTTTACCAGCAGTGCCCAGTGTCAGATTGGTCACCAAGCAGCGTGCACAGGCTGGTCCACATGTCTTGTGACCCCCCCCCCCCCCCCCACTACTACCCCAGCCCTTTACCAGCAGTGCCCAGTGTCAGATCGGTCACCAAGCAGCGTGCACAGGCTGGTCCACATGTCTTGTGACCCCCCCCCCACTACCCCAGCCCTTTAGCAGCAGTGCCCAGTGTCAGATCAGTCACCAAGCAGCGTGCACAGGCTGGTCCACATGTCTTGTGACCCCCCCCCCCCCCACTACTACCCCAGCCCTTTACCAGCAGTGCCCAGTGTCAGATCAGTCACCAAGCAGCGTGCACAGGCTGGTCCACATGTCTTGTGACCCCCCCCCCCCCCCCCACTACCCCAGCCCTTTACCAGCAGTGCCCAGTGTCAGATCGGTCACCAAGCAGCGTGCACAGGCTGGTCCACATGTCTTGTGACCCCCCCCCCACTACCCCAGCACTTTACCAGCAGTGCCCAGTGTCAGATCGGTCACCAAGCAACGTGCACAGGCTGCTCCACATGACTTGTGACCCCCCCCCCCCCCCCCCGCCACCAATGCATAGTTTGTCAACCACATATGGTTTACCTGTATTCTTGTACAGGGAAATTTAGTTTTCAGGTCTTTACGGCATACAGACGTTTCAATATGGGCACTAATTTTTTTTTGTCTATTTGTCCATAATACAGATTTTTGGGTAAGATCGTGTAAATATATAAATGTGTCGTTAAACCCGCCACCACCCGACACAGCCAATTAGTAAGGTTTGTCACGTAAACAGAACATGCCAATTCGTTACTAGTGTAGTGTAACAGCGCCGGCTGGTGACCAGCAGCGGCAACTGTGGTGGGTGAGCACAGACACGGCTGCGTGTCGGCAGGGCGGAGGAATTGGGGCAAGGATCATGGAGGGCCCTATCTGGAACCCCCTGGAACCTGCTAGTGGTTCATATTCTTTGGTTCTTTCGGTAAAGTCACGTAGATAAAAAAAATAATAATAATGAAGTGAATAAAATGAAAATAATACAAATAATAAAAATGCTGACACTAGGGCCACGCCTATTTCAAACCTTTACAAACAGCTTCAAATCAATATTGACTTTATAAACAGCTTGTCTTTAGAGGCTAACCCCCTTTTCTTGATGACGACCGCTTGTGTTGCGATCGAAACGTCGTGGTTTTTATTAATTTTATTACTTTCATTTTTTATTCACTTTATTATAATGTTTCTATCTACGTGACTTTACCGAAAGAACCTAAGAAAATGAATTCCTGCAGTCACGAAATTTTTAAGTGAAAATTTAACCTGCTCGTGGGTTTGAGAAGGGAGGCGCGACCAGGGCGGAGCCAGGCCGCACTGGAAGTATAAAAGGGGTCAAGAGCGGGGAGCTCGAGGCTGCCGTATTCGCTCGATATTGCGCTGCGAGATAGTTGCTGGCTGTCTCCGTGAGCGCCGTCGGTGTTAGAACGGCAAGTGTTGTGCATTGGCTAGCGACTGCAGAGTGTGTGCAGGCGAGATCGTGTGTTCAATAAAGAAGGTGCCTCTACAAACCTCGTCTCCGAACTCACTGAGACTACACTAGTACAGCACATCGGTGTGTTGGAGAGCAAAGCCACAAGGTTTGTTTTTGTTTTTCCCTTATGATGATGGGACTCTGTAGGATTAACGTTGAGGCTTGTAAGGGCACGGGGTGACCAATAACGTCTGAACTGGTCTGTAATAACGTAGGCACTCTGCCGCACTCATTGACAGGTATGCCAATGAATTGATACCTATAACATGTTTTTTCCTCTCCCCACCCATCAACCCACATTTGCATATTCATTTCTGTTTTAAACGAAGCTTACTTTGAAAATGTTACGTTTTAGAGAATTTAATGGGGAGGTCACAATACATCTGCACCACCTTATATAATAGCCCTTGTGATAAAGTATGCAGCAACAACGATGATAAAGAAGACACAAAATCACGATGAACAACACATTTTTACATCAAATATCACCACAGCTGTCACGATCGTTTATACAGTGCACCCCCCCCCCCCCCATTCTACCTGGATTGTGAGGGGGTGAGTGTGGGCTGATTGTTTTGTGTAAGGTTGCTACTTTATCCACAGACACAATCCGAAAGTAAACATTTCTCCTGATCACTGGGTCTTTATCAAAGCAGTATTGTTTACTGTAAGAAGAAAGTTCAACACAATACCGGTATCAGATCTATGTACAAATAACTTCCAGGATTAATGTAGCAACTCCAGTGAAGTGGTTTGTGGATGGAACTCAAATCATTGTCCCAATTTTCTACTAAATTCTATAATTTAGTAGTTACCACTGATCCTGTCCATCGTATTGATTGGCAAAGAGAGCTATACGGTACATTTAAATATGCACGCTGTAAATTATCACTTTGAAGACAAAAAAATACAATATAGGATTGCACTTTCTGGAGCGGCTTCCCACTGTGATTCTATTGATTTAAAAACGCGATTGCTCCATTTATTTCAGCTTATCTTGTATTATGTAACGTTCTCAATGACTCGTGCAATCACTTGTTAAATTTAATGCAAAGGGAAACGAAATTAAACACTTTGTTCTGCGTCCACAAACTGCTGTAAAATATTGGTGACCACATCATGAATACTCTTAGTTCTTTCGGTAAAGTAAGAGAACTAAGAGTATGAATCCTTGCAGTCACGAAAGCTTCACATCATGAATATCAACAAATTGAGCACAGTATATCCACGAGGCTTAAAAAAGCCAACGCAAATGTCAAGATGGTGCAAATGAGCGGCTTAATTGCTTTTTCGATATACAGTACTTGTTTTAAAAAAGGATCAAATAACGCAAGTATGAACAATATGCTACATGACATAAGAATCTTGTTTTAAATTTCATTTCCCCCAGTTCTGCGGATTACGTAGAACTACCTTTGAGATTCCATCAGGGGAGCTCTGGCTCACACGGCGGAGCGTAGCACTTTCGCATCCACCTTGCCACAGAGACAAATGGTCATCACATGACAATCAAACTGATATTTTGAATTCCCAGAGCTGGAATGTACAAAATCAAATCTAATGTGATGGGTGATTTTGTGACGTCGTTGGTGACTCGATTGAGACCATTATTGCACGATACATGAAAATCTGGTTTAAGCACAGGAGGCTGCCTGGATTTAAATACAGGTCTCTGCATTTGAATCTGAGCCACCCGGCCATCTCAAAAAAAGTCTTGCTTTGTTAAACGATGAATACTGTCATTTCATGAAACGATAATGGCAACGTCGCATCTGGCTTGTATGTTTGAGCACAGACACTGTGCTGGCTCGAGTAAGGGCACAGCATGGGCGTGTTGTGTGGCGGTCACACACTTGCTTTGAAGTGTCGCCTGTTCTGTGCACCATGATGTGTTTATACTGCCGGATATTGCTCTGAGGAAGGGCCACCCTTCACCTGTCACGAAACACTGAAGCATTCTGTTTGATTTGAAAATATTTTCTCTGGAACAGAGTAACCTTTTAACACGACGAGGTATCGCACGCATCGGTTATTGAGCTAAAGCACGTTTATCAATATTAGCATACACGAATACGAAAAAAACGAAACAAATATACATTGTGTAGTATTTGGCATAAACGTATATTTATATAACAGTGTACACATTACGTAGGAAAACGTTTAAGACATTTACAGTAATTGCTTTGATAACCTTGATTTTGGTTGATTACACAAGAGCTACGGATACA